CCAAGGGAGGGCAGGGGGGTCTCCAACGCTGACCCCCGAAAAACCCGCGGACCTCTCGAATGTACGATGACTTTTCTTCCTCGGCCACCGCATCCACGACGCCCGAACCTTCGCTGGTGAACGTTTTCCTATGCGGCGTATCGACAGTGGGCGGAAGGGGGGAGTGAGGGGGGGGGGGGGGTCTGGCTCCGGACCTCTGCTCAGTCCGACTGTTTGCACCAAGGCGTCCTGTGGGGGAGCCTCCGCCTGCTTGAAAACAGGCGCCCGGAACAGCCAAGATATACTCCGGGGGGGGGGAGGGGGTGCGAGGGCCCGCGCCGATCGGCAAACCAATGAATAAGAAAACGATCACTGGATGACCCCAGAGCTCCGCGCGAACCTCTCAAATTTAATGCAACTTGTTCTTCCTCGACCACCGCGTCCCTGACGCCCGAACCTTCGCTGGAGCAGCCCTGCTTGCCGAGGATCCCACCGATGACCTGTCGGACGCTTCCGTGCAGCCGTCGATCTCGAGTAGCTCGCACGGCGTCGGTGACGCCCTAGGACAGGACGCAGCAGGAAATCGTGCGGAGGCGCAAATCCGAGACCAGAACGTAGTGGCACAAACATATGGTAGAATACTTCCTGGAAGTCCAACCAGAAACGATCAGAACTAATAATTCAAAAGCGTGTATTTCTCCTTCTAAACCAAAATCGAGCAAACATACCTCCATCAATGGACACTCCCGCTTTCCTCAATATTCAAAGTTCGCGCGAGCGGGGGAGACTGCGGTGAAGTGCAACTCATCAGGGCCATCGCCAACTTTGAGCATTGGGGGGAGGGGGAGGCGTTGACCGATGAAAGTGGCATGCGTGCTCGCTATAATTTTCCCGAGGCCTGTATTGCAGTATACTGTTTTCCTAGCCGTGTGGCCACACCACGCCCGCCGCGGTGATTACACAGCAAGATTTGTCCGGTGTGCAGCTCCGAGCGCGCGGCCGACCCCCTCTCTGCTCTTGCCTCTGGTGCTCGACTCGCAGCCCCCGTGGCCAGGCTGGCCCCTCCGACAACGCCGGGCGTCTGCCGGCGCCGCGACCGAAACGACATCGAGTTTCAGTGTGCGCGTCGGTCTCCTCCTCCCCTCCTCTCCCTCCTCCTCCCCTCCCCTCTCCTCCTCCCTCTCCTCCTCCTCCTCCTCCTCCTCCTCCCTCTCCTCCTCCCTCCTCCTCCCCCTCCCCCTCCCCCTCCTCCCTCCTCCTCCTCCTCCTCCTCCTCCTCCTCCTCCTCCTCCTCCTCCTCCTCCTCCTCCGCCGCCCCTGCAGGAGCGACAGGCACATGGTGTAAGTGTGCGCTTCAGCCCGGCCGACGGGGCCGCCCGCGCTTAGTTAGGCGGACCACGTCTGGGAAGGTCGAGGCCCTGCCCCACGGTGGGGGCCGTCGCGGCGCGCCGACGACGCTGCAGCGGCTGATGGCGCAGTGCTCACGTACACCACTGCTTGGTGCTGCTTGGCATGGCTTGCCGTTGCTCGGAGCCGTTGCGTGGCATGGCTTGGCGCTGCCTGGCAGTCCTTGGCGCTGCTTGACATTGCTCCGCGTTGCTTGGCATTGCCCCCCCACCCGGCAACCACGAGCAACGCCTGAGACCTTGTCAGCGAGGATGCCTAGGGACAACGGCTGAGGACGGGCGACATCTGCAAGGACGCCCTTCGAAAACTACTCATGAAAGAAGGAAGGGGGTGGAGGGGGGACAGAATGTGGATAGAAGCCGGAAGGAGGGATGGGCCACGAGTGCCCCAAGAGGCCCCCCCAGACCGTCCAAGAGGGCACCCAGTCGCAAAACGATCGGTCCAAAACGCCTGCACTGCCCAACAAGCCTCCAATACGCCCCGAGAAGCCTCCAAGAGCACTCCTGAGAGTGCCCCAAGAGGCAAGATTCATTCGTTTTCCTCGGCTTTTGAGCATTTGGGCGCTCTCGCCTTTGCCCGTCCCCGCGGCTCCAAGACGGCCTACGAGGCCCCAAAGATCGCCCCAAGACAGCCCAAGAGGCCTCCAAGAGGAACCCAAAACAGCCCACGAGGACCCCAAGACAGCCCAAAACGCCTCCAAGGCGGCCCAAAAGGCTCCCAAGATGGCTCCAAGAGCATGCCCAGACGGGGGACCCGGACGGCCATTTGCCCTCGGCTCCGAAAGGCTCCCAAAAGGCCCCCACATGATCTCAAGGGGCCCCAAGAGGCCCACAAGAGGTCCCCGGGAAGCCCGAAGAGGCTCCCAGGAGGCCTCCGAGATGCCCCAACATTCCTCCCCAGAGGCCCCCGAGAGCCTTCCGAAGAGACCCCAAGAAGCATCCCTAAGGACTCTGGCCCACGGCGACGTCGTCGTCGTCGTCGCCGCCGTTGTCGTCGTCGTCGTCGTCGTCGTCGTCGTCGTCGTCGTCGTCGTCGTCGTCGTCGTAGTACCCCTGCAGTGTCGGCGGCACCGGCCGTGAGGCATTCGCGATAGGGATAGAACTCGGAGAGGGGGAGGGAGGCGGACCCCTTTATTGCTGGCGCGGAGCGCGCCAGGGGCGGTGCGTGCTCGAGGCGCCGCCAGGGGGTCCAGCGCCGAGCCGGGAAGTCCGCGCTGACCTGCAAAAGATTTGCGTATGCTCATTGAGATTCACTTTCTTCGATCGTGGATGGACAGAAACCCCCTTTACCAAAACGTGGTTGAGTGACAACTGCCTTGGGCCCAAGCCTGGCGGGCGCAAGCCTGTAGAATGACAGGCCGCGGCGCCCTCTCGAGAACCGCAAAGGGACAAGTCCCACACATCGACGTGTCAGGGTGGGGGTTCTGTCCACCCCCGATTCGATCAGACGAGGAAGAGAAAGTAGAAGTCCAGCGGAGGGGGCAGACACACGCCCGGAATCGAAGGTGGGCCTGGGCCCCCAGGACGCGCCGCGACACGCCGCTGGGCGCGCGTGCACGCGCCCCCGTGCCCGTGCTCGAAGGAGGGAGGAGGCAGAGGCCTCCCAGGTGCCTCCTCTTCACCCTTGCCAGCAAGGCAAAACCAGCTGCGCTCCGTATGAAGCTTAGCCTCTCCCAACAATAGGCCACCGCCCAGGCTACCATCAACGCCACCAAGGTCTCGATCTTCTTTTGTCAGTTCGAGCTGAGCACATACAACTTACAGTGCTAGTGTTCATCGCCGAACGGACTGCGAGGCCTCCCAGGTGGGGTCTGAGTAGGTGGGGTCGAAGAGTCGCGCCGCATCCCGATGCATCGGCGATGCATCGGCGATGCACAGGCGATGCGTCGACGACGTCGGCGATGCATCGGAGCCGTCGGCGTGGAGAAAACGGGGCTCCGCATCGAGCAGCATCGCCGATGCATCGGCGATGCGGTGCAACCCTCCGACCCAATCTACTCGGACCCCATCTAGGAGGCCCAAAGGGGAGCCAGGGGGAGGAGCTAACAAGAAGAGATGACGAGACGGAACGGACGAGCGAACGATCACCAATGCGGACAGTTGTCCGGTCGACTTGGGACCAGGTGAGCGAGGCCGAAGCCTCCAGATACCGCGGTGTACCTCAACACCTGCATGCGAAACACATTGAAAGGTCGTGTAAGACAGAGAAGAGAAGGGAGAGGAAGCGAAATCCTTTTGGTCGATGGCGGCGGGGGAGGGGAGGTCGAGGAGGACGACGGCGACGAGGACCGAGACGGGATATCCAAGCGGGCGGGACCCCGTGACCGGAGCTCTCTGGACAAGCATGGGGACATGACTCTCACGGCAGCGAGGGGCCGAGTCCTGGAGCCGAAGCCAGGAAAAAGCCTGGTTCAGGCACTACTCGGACAACGAGAGAGGAAGGGAGGCCTCCCAAATGTAGTCCGAGCATATAGGGTCGGAGGATTGCGTCGCATCGCCAAAGCATCGCCGATGCATCGGAGACGTCCGCGATGCATTGGAGACGTCGGCGATGTATCAGCGCTGTCTGCTTGGATAAATTCGGGCTCCCCACATCGAGCCGCATCGCCGATGCGTTGGCGATGCGGCGCGACCCTCCGACCCATTCTACTCGGGCCCAATTTGGGAGGCCTGAAGGAAGGCGAAGGCAATAACCACGACGAGGAGGACGAAGACAGGGATTACACAACATACTAGTACCTTACGTGCACATGGAGGAAACACTGAGAGTGCATACCCATACTGACAGTGTGCCATCTCAACTCGCCTGCACAGGGAGAGCTCGCAGGCCCGATGCTTCCATTTCTTGCCGCGCGCTTCACCTCCGCCTCCAAGCGCTTTTTTACGATCGCTGTGAAGCACGCGCTCCTTCCAGGAAGCTAAGCTACGAAGGAGGTGGCGCCAATTTGCGACACGCAGGCTACATCGTTGGAAACCGACGGTCCATGCAGAGCTCCGTGCAGGAGCCTCAGGTCCATCCTAGGCCGCTCCCCTCTCCCCGCTGCCGGCCCCCCCCCCTCCCCCCTCCAGGGCTCGTCCCCCCAAAAGAGGGCCGCCCGCTGCGACGGGATGCCGTGAGCAGGCCCCCGACCGGGGCAGGCCTAGAAGGCCAGGGCAGCAGCTAGAACCAGATTTACACACACATAGGCAGATCCATACATACGCGAATAAACACGTAAACGCATATACCTATACGACCACCCTTCGGGTGATAAGGAGGTCCGGGGGGGGGGAGGAACCGACGTCTCACTCGATCGGTCTCACTTTGGATCTCACTATCGATCTCACTATCGGTCTCGCTCGATCGATCTCACTCGATCGATCTCACAATCGATCTCACTCGATATATTTCATTCGATCGATCTCACAATCGATCTAACTATGGATCTCACAATCGATCTCACTATCGATCTCACTATCGATCTCACGATCGATCTCACATTAGGTCTCACTATCGATCTCACTATCGATCTCACAATCAACGTCATCACCATAATCAACATCATCGTCATCAACGTCATCAACGTCATCAACATCATCATCATCATCATCATCATCATCATCATCATCATCATCATCATCATCATCATCATCATCGGGGCACCATCATCATCCACACCTGATCACCATCATCAACATCATACGCATCGTCATCAGCATCATCATCATCAACATCATCATCATCATACTCATCATCATCACCATCATCATCATGAGCGGGACACCATCATCGTCACCATCATCATCAACATCATCCTCATCGGGACACCATCATCATCAGCATCGGAACACCACCATCATCACCATCATCATCTCACCATCATCATCATGAACAACATCATCAACATCATTATCATCATCATCATCATCATCATCATCATCATCATCATCATCATCGGGACACCATCATCATCATCAGCAACATCATCATCGTCAACACAATCAGCATCACCATCATCATCATCATCATCATCATCATCATCATCGGGACACCACCATCATCGTCACCATCATCATCATCATAATCGGGACACCATCATCATCAACATCAGCATCATCATCATCGGGCCACCCTCATCCAAATCATCATAATCACCTCATCAGGATCATCATCATCATCATCATCATCAACATCATCAGCATCGGGACACCATCATCGGCATCATCATCATCAACATCGTCATCGTCGGGACACCCAGTTCATCATCATCATCACCATCGTCATCCTCAATAACATCATCATCAACCTCATCATCACCGAAACACCATCATCATCATCATCATCATCTTCATCATCATCAGCATCATCATCTCATCATCTCATCATCATCATCAATATCATCATAATCATCAACATCATCATCATCATCATCATTATTATCATCATCATCATCATCATCATCATCATCATCGGGACAACAACATTATCATCAGCAACATCAGCATCATCAACATCATCATCATCATCATCATCATCATCGGGACATCATCATCATCATCATCATCACCACAATGGCCATCATCAGCATCATCATTCACACCGTCAACATCATCATCATCATCCTCATCCTCATCATCATCATCATCGGGCCACCATCATCATAACCACCATCACCATCATCATCATCAACATCATCGACATCATCATCATCATCATCATCATCGTCATCGTCATCATCATCACCATCACCATCACCATCATCATCATCACCATCACCATCACCATCACCATCACCATCACCATCACCATCACCATCATCATCATCATCATCATCATCATCATCATCATCATCATCATCATCATCATCATCATCATCATCATCATCGGGACACCGACGGGACACCGGCGGGACACCGGCGGGACACCGCGCGGCACCGGACGCCGAAGGGCATCACTTGGTCTGGTCGCGCCTCAGCCGGAGGCGGGACACCGGCGGGACACCGCGCGGCACTGGTTGCCGGAAGGGATCATTTGGTCCGGCCGCGCCTCAGCCACATGAGACTTTCCTCTCGCCCGCCCACGCAGCTTCGCCTCGCCCGCACGCACGGCACGCACGAACACGAAACCGAAACCGATTTCCCGGTAGGGGGGCTCTCCGTTCCACTTCGATCTCACCCCCTCACCTCCGATCAACACATACATAAATAAGCAAATCAATGAATGCACAAATGCATAAATGAATACATAAAGGGATGGGGCGGCTCGCTGCCACGGCTGCGCTGCGCCAGGCTTTCCCCTGCGGAGCCCACTCGGCGTCTCTGGGCATCTGGCGACCCGGCGCCCAGACCCGACGAAAGATCGCAAAGGCCTTGATATTGACTCCTGTCGTCGTCATCGTCGTCGCCGTCGTCGGCGGTAGAGGAAGCAAACGCTTCCCGCAGCTGCCTTGGTTGAGTGGTTGCCTGTCGTCCTGCGCTTGCTTTAGGTCGGGCATGTGCTCCTACAGGCGCATTGTGGACGAAAAAATTCAAAACAAATCCCAAAACATGCGCCAAAAATGCTCAAGCATAATCAAACAATTGTCCCCGTACTATTTTTTGATTATTTTTGAATATTCCTCCTGTAGAGGGACAGGCCCGACTTAACGCTTGCTCATCCTCGTCCTCACCCTCATCCTTCAAAACATATCTGCGAAGACGGACGAGGTTCACTGTCGGGCCGCATGATGCTACACATCTCTGATCAGGGCACCTCGCCATGCGTCTGTCTCTGGATGGGCTGGTGGGGGCACTTTTGTTTTTGGTCGGCGGCCGCGCGACAACGGTCTGGCGGCAACAGCGATGCCTGGGCCAACGGAACACGGCAAAACTGGTGGGGGCACGCGAAGCGTCCAAAACTTGACCTTCAGGGAGGCTGCACACGATGGGATGAGTCTCTGGAGGTCTAGTGTGGTGCACGACTCTCCCCCCTAGAATAATAAAACGTCATAAACATCAACTTTTGGCGCTCCGCGCGAACTTCTTGGATCTGCGCTGGACCCCCCTCCCTGGCGCGCGGAGCCGGCGCCCGAGGCGCCGCCGGGGGGGGGGGCCATGAGCGGATCCAAACAATCCGCGCGGAGCGCCAAAACTTCTGTTGCTCCCACCTTACTTCAGGACCACAGGCCAGAAATAATTTCGACCACCCGGAAAGTATCGAAAGAGTGTCGAAAGAGTGTCGAAACAGTGTCGGAGGAGTCTCCCGGGGCCCGACACGCGAAAACGCTTGAGTTCCGGTGCTCTTTTCTGATGCTCGAAGCCATTTCTCATTTCTGCTGATCAAGGCTAAGCCAAAACTTCTGCTTTCATGGCGTATTTTCTCATTCGAGGCGAGGCTCCCAGGAGGCCTGGTGGTGCACGACTCCCTCTCCCGGCGGCCCCGCGGCGCGCAGGAGAGCGGAGGCAGCGGCACGCAGCACCCGACGGCTCCTCCACGCCCTCCCCTCCTCTTGCTCCTCCTCGCCCTCCTCGCCCTCGTCCTCCAGGTCCTCGTCCTCCGCATCCTCCTCCTCCTCCTCCTCCTCCTCCTCCTCCTCCTCCTCCTCCTCCTCCTCCTCCTCCTCCCCCTCCTCCCCCTCCCGCTCGGCGGCGGCTGGCGCGCTTCTCACAGGGGCGCCACCAGGGCGACAGACCGCGCGTCGCCGAGGGTCTCCTCGAGGGGGGGGGGGGGCGGGCGGGGCGCCGGCCGCGCGCGCGCGGGCGGGCAGGCGCGGGCGGCGGCGGCAGCAGCGGGGGGGAGAGCCGAAGGGGCCCAGGGACACACAGATAAATACGAGGCAGTTTTTTATAATACATGGGATTTTCCAAACATGTAAAATATACCGGATCAGTGCATGAATACATTTACGCATGAACTCATCGTTGTGTTTCATGCTAGATCCCTACATGTTTTAAAACATGCTCCGCACGCGGAGCATGTATAAAAAACGGCACTGTACGCACAAATTCAGGACTCCCCGTGATTTCTCGTGTTCTTTGGGTGTTCGTCTTCCCCTCCACCTCCACCATTGTCCAATGCGTTCTGGGGAGTCGACGACTGATGGTGTTTTTTCTTCTTGCCCTCCCGAAGAGCGGATCCCAGAGCGACGTCAAGGAAACCACGCTTGAACCCTACAGTCGACCGTCGACCCGAATCATAAGGATGCGCGGTAAGGATGCAATGGCCTTGGACGCCCACGCGAACGTTTTTCGAGCGAGGCTGGCCAGCGGAAGTCGCTGAGGATGGACCGAAGGGGCAAGGATGCAAGGGCACCCTTGGGAAGGTTGCCCATCCTTACTATGTGGGTGGACTGTGCCTGGCGACGAGCCCGGTGGGGAAGTAAGAAGGTGCAGGCCTTCTCAGAAGGCTCAGAAGGACCCCCGGCTGTCTGAGAAGTGTTCCAAGCCTTCCCTGAAGACGCTGGAATCTCAGAAGGCGCGAGGGCTGCTGAGAAGCCCCGCCGCCTTCTGAGAAGGCCTTCTCCTTCTCATTTGCCCCCCTCGCTCGCCGCCGACCTGCCCCATGCAGGCCAGGCTTCTGAAAAGCTGGCCGGGGTCCAGAACTTGACGGATGCCTGCAGCTAGATGAGCACCAGCGGGGGTGTGCGATTCAGTAGGGCCTTGACCACAAGAAACCGTCCACAAGAAAGCCAACCCTGAGACCCCAGGGCGTCCACTGATTTTCGGTATGGGGACGTCACGTTTTCCATGGTAGAACCATCGGCACCAAAGAAACCCAGGGCACCCTGAAGGCGAGCATGGTGCCTCTTAGCATGAATTTCCGCTGTGCACCCCGGCGTCGAGCGGGCCCGCATGGGGTAGGCCTCGAACAACTGACCGCAAAGGCGCGGGCTCTACAAACACCGCGCTCGGGCAGGCGCGGGCGGACGAGGGCACGGGCAGGAGGGGAGGGCCGCCGCCGCCGCCGTCGCCGTCGCGGTCGTCATGGTCGTCGTGGTCGTCCTGGTCGTCCTGGTCGTCGTGGTCGTCGTGGTCGTCGCGGTCGTCGTCGTCGTCGTCGTCGTCGTCGTCGTCGTCGTCGTCGTCGTCGTCGTCGTCGTCGGGCGGGCGGAACCTAGCGGGTTGGGGAGGGGACGCCAGCAGGATCGGATGGGGGGCCTTCCCCCGTGTCAGACACTGACCATGAAGGCAAGGAGTGCGGCATAAAGGGGCGTGGTGCCCATGGTGAACCTGGCGATGTTATCTATCGTCGAACGAACGCATCTCCATATCCACGAGCGGCACCCTTCATGCCAGACTAAAACAGGGCTAGGATCGGGATAAATCGCTCCAGAGCGTTCCGGAGCGCTCTCAGAGCGTTCCGGAACGCTCTGGAGCGGCCGCGGCGCCCAATACATCCTCCAAACCCGCCGATTCTCAGAGATTTCGAATTATCCCGATCCGATTTTGTCCCGATTTTCGGGTCGTTTGACCACACCCCTTCCTACCTCCAGACAGGCATTGACCCTGGTGTGTGTCCTGCAGGCCCCCGGGGCCCAGGGAGGGCCCAGGGGGCCTGCAGGCAGTGAGAAGCTTCCAGCCTGGTTACGAGAAAGCTCCACGGCGACGTCCTCGGTATCCTCGATCCTCCCCTCGAAACTCTGTTCGAGGACCACTCCAAGGGCGCGCTCTGACCAGCATTTCGAGGCGGGCTAAGCCATGGTGACAAGAGACCTCCCTGGAGCGCAACAATGAAGGGGCCCCAGGACACACAAATAAATACACACAAATAAAAATATTCCCCACAGTTTCCCATATTTTCTGGGTTTCTGTCTTCCCCCCCACTTCCCATATTTTCCATATTTTCTGGGGAATCGAGGATTAATTGTGTCTGTGTTTTTTTTTCCTCCTGAATATTCCCAAGAGCCTCGATCGTCCAACGTCGAGCCTCGATCCTCAGACATCCTCCGTTCTGTTTCTTCGATCCGTGCCAAGAGCAAGTCTACGTCCCAGGACAATGTTTGATTGCCCTGGAGACCACTCTTCAACACTCTAGCGGAGCAAGGCGTCCCGGAGGAGTACATCCGGATCCTGTCAGATATTTACCAAAATCAGCATGGAAATGTGGATGGAAGTGCCTTGTTTGAAATCACCCTGGGAGTCAAGTAGGGTGATGTATTGTCGTCTCTTCTGTTCGACGATGGTTTAGAACACGCCATGAGACGATTCAAGAACAGGGTTCGTGGGAGTGGCGTTGATGTTGGTGGAGCAGAGCAACTGACGAATACACGGTATGCTGATGATTTCTTTCTATACGCTACCAGCACGGGCAATGCCATGTCCATGCTCGAGGTCCTTTGCGAGGAGCTGTCGAACTGTGGGTTGGCATTGAACGCAAGCAACACCAAGGTGTTCACGAACGACCCCGAGCATTCGATGTCAGCAAATGCGCTCACGATGCCGCTCAAAGAAAACAATATCCCAATACTGATCAATACGGACATGCGCACATATTTGGGGAGAAAACTGTCCGGGAACATGTATCGCATGGAATGCGCATGGGTGAGATACCATGCGAACTGGGCAATCCTCACGAACAAGAACATATCCGTCAAGCTCAGGTTTCGTCTTTTTGACAGCGTGGTTTCACCAACTGCGACATACGGATTATCTACGTGTGCGTTGACGCAGCGGCAGCGTATTAAGACTGCAAGCACGAGGTCTACCATGCTACACAGAAGCGTTGGTTTGGGAAACGACCAGAAGAAGATTGGGGAGCATCTGGCAGCCGGTGCAAACATCGACTTCAGCGTGCTCTTTCTCGATGTACTGTTTCGGATTGGTTACGTGTTATCGACAGAGTGCAATGGCGGCTTATTCACAAGATCTTCAAAGATGCCGATTAGTGGCCGATGGTGGTCACGACACCGAGCCCATCGATAGGCAAGCGATCTCGGAGACGTCCAGAGACCAGGTGGACGGATCACGTCAATCGGCATCTGAGCCTAAATGATAGTATGCCTGCGTCAGGTTTTCCACGGCAGTCGGTCTCTGGATTTTGCCAGGCTCAAACAAGACGTCGTCGACCTCGCTGCTTCGAGGTATATTTAAGTCGGGCCTGTCCCCCTACAGGCCGATCTTGGACGGAAAACTTGAAATAGTCAAAGAATACCCCGAAATACTCAAATATCGTTAAACAATATCGTCCCAAGACTATTTTTAAAACTATTTTGAATATTCCACCTGTAGAGGGACAGGCCCGACTTACACGTCGGTCGGAAGAAGTAGGTAAAAACATGAAATAGGAAGGCGGATAAAGTGGGTTGGGTCCAGGCCCTCCCAGAGAATAACAAAACACAGCAAAAACATGCCGATTCTTGAAGTAGGAAGGCGCTTGAAGTAGATTGGGATCTGGGAATCCAAAAATACCTACTTTCAACGACCGGCGTGTAAAGATATATGCATGCTCAGAGGAGCGTGTACAATTGCATGCTTTACCAACGCCGTCTCCGCTTGCGCAGCGCGTGCGGCCTCCGTGCGCGACCCGACCTGCCTTCCTGGGGACCGAGAGCGACCCCCAGAGGTCGAACGGAGCAAAAACCGCGATTGAACCTATCGTGTCGTCGAAGGGAGGGTCCGCATCCCCGAAACTCGATGAGCTAGTTCTCCGTCCTCCCCCCCTGGGCCTCGCTGGGGGGAAGGGGGAGCCATCCACAACCTGGAAGAGAAAACACAGGAACAGAAACTTCTGGCGCTCCGCGCGGATTTCTTGGATTCGCGCTGGCCCCCCCTCCCTGGCACTCGGAGGCGCCGCCGGGGGGCCCAGGCGCGGATTCAAGAAATCCGCGCGGAGCGCTAAAAGTTTATGTTTATGTGTTTTTTCTTTTCCGATAACCACGGCGTGGGGGATCGATATTCCGCTACCCGATGTGTTCGACCCCACAAGGCCTGAGTATACCTAGATCCGTCCCGCCAAGGCCTCCGAAGATCGATCCCCAGGTGGTGCTTCCGAATGGATGCATCCCCGCCTCGGACAAGAGCCTCGACCCTCGAACCTTGATCGGGCAGATGCTGACATCTAGTACGGATCCGTGGATCTGGCGCGTGGGCGCCAGATTTAGGTCGGGCATGTCCCCTTACAGGCGGATTCTGGACGAAAGACAAAAAAAAGTCAAACATGCTCCAAAATAGTAAAAAAAAAAAAAAACATCGTCCCCAGACTTTAAACAAAACATGTTTTTACTGTTTTGCAGCTTCCTCCTGTAAAGGGACAGGCCCGACTCATCGCCAGATACACGGATCGGCAAAGCACCCCACGAAACAAAACTGCTCCCAACTACCCAAAACCATTCCAAAATCGTTCCCGGACTTTTTTTGGTTGTTCTTTATCGCTGCTCCTGCATCCTCCTCCTGCAGAGGGACAGGCCCGACCCAACGCCAGATGCACGGATCGGGAAAGCACCCCACCTGGCCATCGCTCGGACGTCCATTCCCTGTGTGTTTTTTCGATTTCGTGCGTGTTTTTTTCGCTAAATGATCCAGGATGCTCCTCGATGGCCGTCGCCGAGAAAAAAAAACGCACACGTCCGAGCGATGCCAGGCCACGAAGCACCGAGGCAGCGCCGCCCGATCCGGCGACGGGGCGCGCCGAGAGGCCGCACGGGAGCGGGACTCACCGCTGGCCTGCTCGCCTCGAGCCCTCGGGCCCTCGGGCCCTCGATGCCCTCGCCCTCTCGGCGGCGGCGATCAGGGCGCGAATGGCCCCGGGGACGGCCACTGCACGCACCCGCCCGGGAGCCTCGTCGAAGACGCAGCTCCTCGGCGCCGGTGGATGCGTGCATGGCTCTCCCCTGGGCCATCCGCCCCTGTCGTTAAGTCGGGCGTGTCCCCCTACAGGGGGGATTTTCGAGGAACAACAAAAAATACCCCCAAAAAAATTTAAAAAAAAATCCAAAAATAATATGGTGACTATTTTTTGTCGTTTTTTTTTGTCTTTTTGTGTTATGTTTGAGGTATATTTTATTTTGTCGTCGAAGATCCCCCTGTAGGGGGACAGGCCCGACTTAACCCTATCGTCGCCTCTGATCCCCTCCCCCCCCGCTGCGAGGGGGGAGAACGTCAGGGGGGAGCCGGCTCCTGGGGCGGAAACGTCGACCTGACATCGGCGATAGTGAAGGGGCCCCAGGACACACAAATAAATACACAAAACAAGCAAATCCCTATATTTTCTCATATTTTCTGGATTCTTGTCCTCCCCCCCACTTCCCATATTTTCCCATCTGTTCCTGGGAGTCGGCGATGAAGTTTGTCTGTGTGTTTTTTCCCCTCCTGGGATAGGCCCCCGACAGCGGATCTGGACGTTCCTGGGCGGGGTGGGCCATCGGGATCCTGTCCGCGATCTCAGAGCGATTGGGGGTCGGCGCATCCCCCCCCCGGGACCCGATCCCGCCCTCACATTGACCCCTGGCCTTCGTGCCACGACTCGGCTTCAAAGCGGCCGTGGGGACGCTCCGGGCACTCCTGGAAGGCCATCGGCGAGGCACAGCTGCTGAAAAAGGCACCCCGAGGCTGGAAAGACGACGAGAACCTACGAACAAGCCCGAGCACCTCGAGCCTCGAAACTTGACGTCTGGATGGGGGCAGGAGAGCCCAGAATCGAATCGATAAGTCGGACCGGCGATCGACATGAATTGGATCGGCGGGAATCGGCAGCCGAGTCGGGAGAAGTCGAATCGGCAGAAATCGGCAGGCTAGTAGGCCTCCAATGAGGACTCGGAGTACAGATCGGAATCGCAAGTCAAATCGAATCGGAATCGGACGCCGTCGACGTCGACGTCCAACCGAATCGGAGGAATCGAAACGAGCCCTGGGGGCGGGAAAAACGCCGAGAGCCCGAGAGCCGACGAGCACGCCCGAACCCACCTCGAGCCCTCGAACCTCGACGTCTGGATGGGGGGCCCAGCAGGAGCGCGTTTCTTTATCTTCGGCGAGAAAGGGCATTACACCCTGCGAAATGATTAAGAAATCATGGGTTAAGAAATTCATAGTCTCAGAACTTGAATAAAAACCCAACATTTCCATTAAAATCATAAGATTTACATTGAAACGTTAAGAATAATCGAGACTCTGGCCGAAAACTCAAGTTTTCTTAAGCATCGCCTAAGGTGTATAAGGAGGGGAAGGGCCAGGGGGTGATGGTATAATGTAACGCCTCCCCCCCGCCGTGCGCACGGCGGCAGTGCCCGGAGCGCACTGGGGGGGGAGGGGCGTCACGTCATGGGAGGGGGAGGGGGGGCCGGGGGCTATAATGCCCACTATGCCCCAGGCAATGAAGAAACACGCTCCAGGGCGCGGGGGGTCGGCGTCTCTTTTTTGAAGGGGTGGCGGGGGTCTCCAGGCGCTGGCCAGGGACGTGCGCGTCGTCCGCGGGGCTCCGCTCGAAGCGGTCGTCGAGGCCCTTGGGCGGGGGTGCAGAGGAGGTCAGGGAGCAACTCCTGGGAGGTCTTCGTGCGAGAGGTTCAGGGCTGCTGGGGCAAACAAGGGCCATCGGGCCAAATGAAGTGGGGGCCCAATCGAATTTTGCGGGAGCAGGCTGGATTGAGCAGGGCGATGCCGGACTGGGCCGGTTTCGGCAACGGATAAACCAGCGCCGATGCTGACTTCAACCTCCCAGGATTTGCAGCCTTCGAGTGGGGATCGACTACATGCTTGATGTACCGGGGAACTGGTTCTCCCGTCGAAGCTAGGAAATATGCGAATACTTTTACCTTGATTCGACTGATCATTTGGCGTCCCTTGTTAGATCCGACGAATATTTAAATTTTGGGGTATGCCAGTTCTGCAGTCGATCCCCTCATGGAATCATAAAGGGAGTTCGTTCGCCGTCGGACGGGCCCAAGATCGGGGTCATGCGGCGGGAGACGGGGAGGGGGGGAGGGGGGGAGGAGGAGGAGGAGGAGGACGAGGAGGAGGAGGAAGAGGAGGAGGAGGAAGATGAAGGAGGAGTAGGAGGAGGAGGAGGAGGAGGAGGAGGAAGGATGAGTAGGAGGAGGAGGAGGAGGAGGAGGAGCAGGAGAAGGAGGAGGATGAGAAGAGGGACGGGATATATAGAGAGAGAGAGCGAAGATCAACGAAAACGGGCAAGGACAGGTGGTGGAGAATGAACAACAATGGAAATCATGACGGGGGGGCGAGGTCACGATGGTGCGGAAGAGAAACTCGCTGCGTACAAGGAACACGTCAAAGCCGTGCGAGCAAGCGGCCACTGCAAGACCTCACGTGAAGCATAACCGGAGTCGCCCGAGAGGTGCGAACACTCGGAGGAAGGAGGGTGTCAGGAAGAGGAGGAGAAGGAACACAGGAACGAAGCGGAGGAGGACGGGGACGCTTGAGGGAGATGAGAGACGGAGGACGGACAGAGAACACACTGAGGAGCACGAGGGGAAAGGTGTGATGGAGGAGGCGGAGGAGGAGGAGAAGAAAGAGGGGGAGGAGGAGAGATGGACAGCGGAGGCCAAGGAGAGATGAGGGACACGGGAGGATGAAAGAAACGAACGAGTGAGGAGGAGGAGGAGGAGGAGGAGGAGGAGGAGGAGGAGGAGGAGGAGGAGGAGGAGGAGGAGGAGGGGTACCTGAGGGCGGAGGAAGGAGCAGGCGGGAGGAGGGGAAGGAGGGGGTTGAGGGCTGGTGCCCCTACTCTGCATCTGCAGCTTCAAGCGTTCAAAACTGCAGGCGGCACGGGGGAGGAGGAGGAGGAGGAGGAGGAGGAGGAGGAGGAGGAGGAGGAGGAAGAGGAGGAGGCTTAGGTTTGTTGAAGGATTTGGGCCTTCTCGCCTTTTCGGTTCCCCGACGCTCCAAGACTGCCCAAGAGGCTCCCAATACCACCCCAAAACAATCGAAGAAGCCTCCAAGAGAGCCCCAAGACGGCCTAAGAGCGCTCCAAGACGGCCCAAAGGCGCCCAAGACGCCCCAAGACTGCCCAAAAAGGAGCCCAAGAGAGGGAACACGAACCCAAAATCCAAGCCTTCCGCCCCAAGAGGCTCCAAGGAGGCCCCAAGAGGCCCCAAAGATGCCACCAAGAGGCCCCCCAAAGGCCCCAAAGAGACCCCAGAGGCCTCCAAACTGCCTCCAAGAGGCCCCAGAGAGGCCTCCCAGGAGATCCCAGCGACCATGCAATAAGCTTCATGCCCACAACTCAGGCACGGTGGCGGGATGGCCTGAAGGCCACTGGATAAGATTTAAAAGACTCACGTGAAAACCTCCACGTGCCGCTCAAGAAATGTCTCAGCCAAAAATGGCGAGGACGACAACGACAGGGATGCCGATCACGAGGATGACGAGGACGACTGACGGACGAGAGCAGGCGCCGTCGAAGACGACGACGACGGCGACGGACGACACGACGACTGGAGTGCGACGACGACGACGAACGATGACGACGACGACGGGAACGACCGACGACGACGACAAGAACAAGCACAACGACTACGAAGACGACGACGACAAGGACGAAGACGACGACGACGACCACCGACGATGACGACGACGACGACCACGACGATGACGACGACGACGACGACGGAGTCAACCACGACGACGACACCGACAGCAACGACGACGACAAGAACAAACACAACGACTACGAAGACACCGACGACAACGACGAAGACGACGACGACAAGATCGACGGCGACGACGACCACGACGTTGACGACGACGACGACGGCGGCGGCGACGACGGCGACACCGACAACGATGACAACGACAACCGGGACGACCGACGACGACGACGACGCGGGCGGGTCGGGTCCGGCAGGTCTGGTCAAGCGGGTCGGGCCAAGCGAGCGGGAAGGGACAATGCAGCGCGGAGAAAATGAAAAAGCCGGTCGGGTCGGGTGAGAGGACCCTAACGGGCGGGTCGGGTCGGGCGGGCGGGAGACTAAAATCATCGCCGTCTTCGTCGCCGAAAGTGACGACGACCGACGACGACAACAGGGGTCGACGACGGCGACGACGACGACGAAGGCGACGAAGGCGACGACGACAGCGACGACGACGTCGACGTCACTGATAACGCCAATGCCGACGCCGACGACGACGGGGACGACCGACGACGACGCGGGCGGGCGGGCAGATCGTCGGGTCGGGCGGGCGTGACATAAAAGCATTCTGCGCAATCGGCTTGGCGCGTCAGAGCCTCAACGGGCGTCGGGCCGGGCGGGCGGGACGTGAAAAAGTGGTGAAGAATCGGGCCAGGAACGCGAGCGCGGGTCGGGTCGGGCGGGCGAACCCTGACGGGCAGGTCGGGTCGGGCGGGCAGGACATTCGAGGGTGGCGCACAAGAGAGCTGGCACGCAGAGCCCTGACGGGCGGGACGGGACGGGCGGCCGGGCCCCAGTGGTCGGGCCGGGTCGGGTCGGGCGGGCGCGACATGCGGGCATCATGCGCAGTCCACCTGGCACGCAGGAGCCCGGACGGGCGGGGCGGGTCGGGCGGGCGAACCCCGACAGGGCGGGTCGGGTCGGTTGGGCGGGACATTCAAGTCGCCCTCGTCATCGGCCGCCCCCGGAGTCGTCGTCGTCATCGTCGTCTGCGTTTTCGTCGTCCGTCGTCCGTCGTCCGTCGTCTGTCGCTCGTCGTCCGTCGTCCGTCGTCGTCGTCGTCGTCGTCGTCGTAGTCGTCGTCGTCGTCGTCGTCGTCGTCGTCGTTCGTTCGTCGTCAGACCCCTGTCGTCGGTGGTCGGTCGTCGTCGTCGTCAGTCGTCCGTCGTCGTCGTCGTCGTCGTCGTCGTCGTCGTCGTCGTCGTCGTCGTCGTCGTCGTCGTTCGTTCGTCGTCAGACCCCTGTCGTCGGTGGTCGGTCGCCGTCGCCGTCGCCGCCGTCGTCGTCGTCGTCGTCGTCGTCGTCGTCGTCGTCGTCGTCGTCGTCGTCGTCGTTCGTTCGTCGTCAGACCCCTGTCGTCGGTGGTCGGTCGTCGTCGTCGGTCGTCGTCGTCGTCGCCGTCGTCGTTATCGTCGTCGTCCTTCGACGTTCGTTGTTCGTCTCCATTGTCGTCGACGTTGCCTGTCGCCCATTGTCCGTCCTCCGTCGTCCGTCGTCCGTCGTCCTTCGTCCGTCGTCCGTCTTCAGTCGTCGGTCGTCGGTTGTAGGTCGTCGGTCGTCGTCGTGGTCGCGGTTGTCGTGGTCGTCGTGGTCGTCGTGGTCGTCGTCGTGGTCGTCGTCATGGTCGTGGTCGTGGTCGTGCTTGCAGGGGAGAGGTTCGGAACCACCACCAACCCCAGCAACCACGAGGGGCTTGAACCATCCCGCTTCTCAATGCACACAGAAAACGCTCATTCGAATCGAGCTCGCGCATCCACGCGAACGACAATTGTGGTCCGGAAAACACGGTTCCTGGAACCAAAAATATCAAGATGCACATGGCCGTGTTCCCACCCGTGTCCTGGTTGTATCGGGCTTTTTCAAAGACTCCCGGCCGTGCCTCTCCTTACTCCTCGATCCGCCCCCTCCGCCTCTGCTGCTATCAGGGTGCCGTGCAGGGGTAATGCAGTTCTCTTGTTCTTTGACGCCTGGTTTAGGTCGCATGTCCCCCTAATTAATTATATGCGGACGTTGAAGGACAAATGTACAACAGTTTAAACATTCTCACATCGTCCCCGTACCATCTTTCACTACTTTTGAACATCCCTCCTGTAGAGGGACGTGCCCGACTGAAGGGTACTCCAGATTTCGTAATAAAAGGGAGGGGGTCTGGACCATCCAAGACAAGCCATTTCAGACCTCCCCCGTGGGAGAACCCTCCAAAACATCGTCCCCAGACCCCCCCAGGCCCTCCAAGATAGCCTGGAAGAGACCCCCCCCGAAATGAGACCCCCCTCCCTTTTATTACGAAATCTGGAGTAGTGAAGTGTTCTTGCTCTTTGACGCCTGACCCGCCCCGCCCCGCTGCAAAGCCCGGCCTCGTCCCCGCTGGCCCCGTCGGCCAGCCGCTGCTCCAGGCGACGCAGCAGGACCAGCAGCTCCCTCGCGGGGGGTGACAGCGCCGTCGTCGCCGCCGTCGCCGCCGCCGTCGTCATCGCCGTCGCCGTCGCCGTCGCCGACGTCGTCGCCGACGTCGACATCGATGTCGTCGTCGTCGTCGTCGTCGTCGTCGTGGTCGTCGTCGTCGTCGTCGTCGTGGATCGCAAATCGAACAACATCGAATCCGCTGTCCACACTTTCTGGTCGCCGGGGCCCCGCTGCAGATCCCCGGGCCGTCAGGCGTCGGTCTGGGGCGAGGAAGCCAGCCAGGGGGGACGCCGCGAGGGGGGCCGCACGCTGGTCGCTGCCGCCGCCGTCGTCGCCGCCTCCAGACCGAGGCTCGAAGCTCGAGGACCGAGGTTGTTGGGCGTCTCTGCCCTGGTCTGGGCCTCGGGAGGCCTTGGAGGAAGCCGACCTGGCAGAACTCTGAGCAGTTGTTCGGCACGAAGTCAAGGAGAGCAGGATGAGGAGAAACTCGGATGAAGATCATTGGGGATAACCGCGGCAATCTCGGACTGAACTGGAAAGCTCTCTACAGAGTTATCTGCCGACCACATGGGGTTCGTCGGCGTGTGAGATGTTTTTCACTCCCCAAACCTGAGGGGCAACGATATGGGGGGATAGGCATAGTGGGGGATGCATCGACATGGAATCGGCGATACCTCGCCGATAGATCGCCGATAGGCTCCCGATTGTGACTACGCACCTTCCTGGGTAGGTTGGGGCCTATCGGGCCCCTCATCGGCGATCAGTGGGCGATTGGGGGGCGATGCATCCCCCCCCCCTATGCCTATCCCCCCCTATCGCTGCCCCTGGAACCCCCGGGAGCCCGGTCCGGTCGAAGTGGGGGGGGGCGTCCCCAGGGGGCGCCCCGAACGCATCAGGGCGGGAGCAGGGGGGCCCCAGACAGGCCGAGAGGTCACCAAGAGGCCCTCTGGACGGTCCAATACACGCGGCTCGGATTAGTAGGTCGACCCTGCCAGATCAAGGGTACCCTCGTGTCCTGTGTCTTGCGACCCATGCCTCCTGCATCTCTGTGGCGACGTGGCCCCCGGAAGGGTCTTGTGTCCTCTCGCATGTCCTCTCCAATCAAGTCCGACTGTAGGGCCACGAGCCGCCGAAAGATCCATCGAGAATGCCCACGCTTGCCTCCAGACAGAGCCCCCAAGACGCCCCCAAAAGCCCTCCAGAGGCGTCCCACGACGGCCTCGAAGAGCACACATCTGTCCATTTGCAAAGGCAAACGTGCATGTTCACCGCTTTCGCCTCGACGACAAGCCAAAAAGCCTCCCGGGTCGCCTCAAGACGGCCCACGAGGCCCCCTAAGAGAGCTCTCAGACGAACCGAGAGGGTCCCAAGAACGCTCGACAAATTCAAAAAACACGCAGGAGGGCACCAAAAGGCCCTCTGGACGGTCCAATAGGGCCAAGAGCTGCCGAAAGATCGATCGGTAACGTCCACGCTGGCCTCCAGACGGCCCAAGAGGCCCAATGACGCCCCAAGATGGCCTCAAAGAGCAAACATGGCCCACTTTCCATCGGACAGCGTGCATTTTGAACATTGACCGCAGCGTCCGAAAAGAGCCCCAAGGAAAGCGTTTCTTTATGTTCGGCGATGACGGGCGTCATTGGGGGGGGGCGAGGGGGGGTATGACGTAACGCCCCCCCCCGCCGTATGGCTCCGGCACCGCAGCCGCGCCCGCGCGCGCGACGCGACGAGCGACGAGAGGCGACGACGACGACGACGACGACGACGACGACGACGACGACGACGACGACGAGGCGAGCAGCATGTAGATGGCGATGTGCCCCACTGCGCCTGTGTACGCCGCAACGCTCGCGTGCAACCCAGCGCGCACGTGTATACCACAGCGCATGCGTACACCGCAACAACCGTGTGCAACGCAGCGCCAGTGTACATCACAGTGCTTGCGTACACTACAGCGCCTATGTACACCACAGTGCTTGCGTGCACCGCAGCGCCTGTGCACGCCACAGCGCGTGTCTACACCACAACGTCCACGTGCAACGCAGCGCTGGTGTACACCACAATGCCTGCGTGCATAGGACAGGTAGAAGGAGCATGTACGTAAGGATCTGCTGCGGACAACTAGACGCCACGCCAGGAAAATGCTGATAATCAAATGCGACATCCTTCCCTCCTCCCTCCTCCTCCACCTCCACCACCCCCTCCTCCTCCTCCTCCTACTCCTCCTCCTTCTCCTCCCCCTCCTCCTCCTCCTCCTCCTACCCCTACTCCTCCTTACCCCCTGTTGTGCGGGTTGGCGCTACAGCGCACGTTCGCATCTCAGCGCGCACCGCAGAAATGGTCTATTGAATCGGTCCACTTAGTTGACGGACGGCCAATTTACCTGGAGCTTCCTGGTCGCAGATGGGATGAGTTAGGGTGATGCGGGCGGACTCGGGAGGACTCGTAGATTCCGGCGGCGCTCCGTTGTCCATAAGGATTATTTCCGGTGGAATCCACAAGCGCTCCATTCTGTCACAAGGATTTGTTCTAACATTCTATATACAACAGTGGTGCTGTGTTGCACACGGTTGGTGTGGTGCACACGGGCGCCGTGGTGCACACAAGTACTGCAACGCACGCAGGCATTGTGGTGTACACTGGTGCTGTGTTGCACACTGCTGATGTGGTGTACGCAGGCGCTGTGGTGTGCACAAGAGCTGTCGTGCCCGCAGGCACGGTGGTACAGAACTGACGCTGTGTTGCACGCGGCTGCTGTGGTGTACATAGGCGGTGTGGTGTACACAGGCGCTGTGGTGCACGCAGGCACTGTGGTGGACACAAGCGTTGTGGTGCAAATCGCCACCTACATGTTGGCGCTACCCGTCCTCCGTCATTCCTAGGTATTCCCGTGCGCCGTCGGCGCGAAACGCGGCGTCTTCGACCCCCTCCACCCCCCCTAGATGATTGCCGTCATCGGCCCGTAATAAAATACAGGCTTCACCCGCGTCCGCGCGCACGACGACTATGAGCGACGAGCGACAAGCCACGGGCGACGACGACGACGACGACGACGACGACGACGACGACGACGACGACGACGACGACGACGACGACGACTGCGGACCAGACTGCTATGCGGTTTCCTACGCGGACACCTACGCGGATCCCAATGCGCACGGCGGCAGTGCCTGGAGTACAATGGGGGGGGAGCGTTACGTCATGGGGAGGGGGAGGGGGAGCGGGGGCCATGACGCCCGTCATGCCCCAAGCAATAAAGAAACGGTCTCAAGGCCTCCTGGGTTGCCCCAAGACGGCCCAAGAGGCCCCCAAGAGAGCTCTCAGACGGCCCAAGAGGGCCCCCCAAACCGTTCAAAACCAAGAGAAAACAAGCCAAGACAACACCAACTCTGGACGGTCCAAAAAGGGCCACGAGCCGCAGAAAGATCCATCGAAAAAGCCCACGCAAGCCTCAAGACGGCCCAAGCGCCCCCCAAGACGACCCAAGAAGCTCTCAAGAGGCGTTCCAAGTCTGCCTCACAGAGCAACAGTCGCTGCCTTCCCATGCGAAAGCGTGCATTTTCGGTATATTCGCCGCTTGTACGTGCACCACGTCCAAAACCTCCTGGCTCGCCCCAGGACGGCTCGAAAAGCCCCCAACAGCGTTGCTACAGTCGCACTTCATTGGACAGGACACGCGAGAGGACAAAAGACCCTTCCGAAGGCCACACTGCCGTAGGAATGCAGGAGGCACGGGTCGCGAGACACAGGACACACGGGAACCCTTGATTTGGCAGGGTCGACCTACTAATCAGGGCCGACTGTAGACGGCCCAAGAGGGCCACAAGGCCTCTGAAAAGCCCCCAAGACGGCCTTGGAGGGCTCCAGGACAGCCCCATCAGGGGGCCCAGAAGGGGAGCCCACACGAACATTTCGAGCCTTCGGCCCCAAACCGCCCCCCGGCTGCCCCAGGAAGCCCCCAACACGCTCCCAGGGAGCCCCGAGAGGCCCGAAGAAAGTTCCCAAGAAGCCTCTAGGAGGGCCCCGAGCGGTTCAACAAAAACAGTTTCCCAACCGCCTCCGGGACGCCTCCCACGGGATCCCATCTGCCATCCGCATGGCCTCGGACCCACAGCCCAGGCACGGTAGCGGGATGTGCCGAAGGCCATTCGACCCGCCCAAGACGGCCCAATGATTGACCCGTCGGAAGAACTTGATTTCCCTACCCACACTTCAAAGACAAGTGCCGTTCCCAATATGATCGGCATCGTCTGAAGGCTAGTCCGCGGGCACTCCACTCTCGTCCCATGAGATCCGCCCCATCTCATGTCCCCGTCAACCACCTCCCCGACAAGCTTATCTTGAGTACCATCCTGGCCAAGCCTTCAAAACGAGTGAAGCTCCGGCGACGACGGCCCTCTCGCGGCCTACACGACACGACACCAACAACTACGCCCGCAAACGACATCCGACCAGACGGGTTGGGTAAGCATGTCTTCCAACCCCTTCTGGCCCTTCCCCTGCTGCGTATTCATAAGCACCCGCCTACTCGACCGACGGCCGACCCAAGTCAAAAACAACGCCCCCAACCATCCTGGTCATCACAAGAATTACCAGGCAAAATGCATTTTGCGGCATGACCAGGAATATCTTCGGGCGTCCCGCCCTCACTGTGCTTTGGTCTAGTACAGGACGGAAGGGGGCATCATCAGAGTCAGGGGGGCGAACGGTCATTCACTGTCTCAGGGCGCGTGGCTGAAGTGACATTCTGGAGTACGGATTCTTGTTGTTGGTGTTGTTGCTGTTGTTGTTGTTGTGGTTGTGGTTGTTGTTGCTGCTGCTGCTGTTGCTGTTGAATGTTAATTACTGAACAGCTATTATTGTTGGACACCTTAGCGGCGCTCTGGCGCTCTCACCGAGGCGCCGGCTACATGTTCGTCGAAAATGAAGCTCACGCTCGAGCGGTTTGGGGGACCGCCCAAACCGGCCCCCCAACAACAACAACGCTCCCGCTCGAGACTTCCTCCTTTTTCACTCAGGGCTGGTGCTCTTGCTCGCGGCCGCAAGCCGCCGTCCTAACAGAACCAGCGCTCCCGCTCGAGACTTCCTCCCGTTTTACATTGGACTGGCGCGCTAGTCTTTCTCTCATCGGCGCCGCCCCCAACAAAAACAACGCTCCCGCTCGAGGTTTCCTTCCTTTTCTACTCAAGGCGGTGCTCCTCCTCGCCGCCGAAAACTGCCGCCTCGACAGAACCAGCGCTCCCGCCCGAGACTCCCTCCCGTTTTACGCTGGACTGGCGCCCAACTCTCTTTTGAATTGGCGCCGCCCCCAACAAAAACAACGCTCCCGCTCGAGATGTCCTCCCTGTTTCCTGAAGACGGTGCTGTTTCTCGCCGCCGACATCCCCGTCCCGTCCGACAAAACCACGGCTCCCGCTCGATACTTCCTCCCTTCTTACTCAAGGCGGTGTTCCTCCTCGCCGCCGAAAACCGCCGCCCCGACAAAACCAGCGCTCCCGCCCGAGACGTCCTTCCGTTTTACGCTGGACTGGCGCCCTACTCTCTTTTGAATTGGCGCCGCTCCCAGCAAGAACAACGCTCCCGCTCGAGACTTCCTATCTTTTTCCTTGGGACAGTGCTGTTCCTCGCCGCCGTCAGCCCCCGTCCCGACAAAACCACGGCTCCCGCTCGATGCTTCCTCCCTTCTTACTCAAGGCGGTGTTCCTCCTCGCCGCCGAAAGCCGCCGTCCCAAGAAAACCAGCGCTCCCGCTCGAGACTTCGTTTTGTTTTACGCTGGACTAGCGCCCTACTCTTTTCAGCATTGGCGCCGCTCCCAACAACAACAGCAGCCCTGCCCGAGACTTCCTCCCTTTCTCTTCAGGGCCAGGTCCTTGCCTCACCGCCGACAGCCCCCATCCCCACCAAGACAATCCTGTCGTTCGATACTTCCTTGTGCTTTACCCTTCGCTGGGGTTCCACTGGCGGTCTCGCATCGGCGCAGCAAGGTGCGGGCATGTGTTTTCGAGGCGGGATATGTTGAAATTTCTCGGAGGAGGTGTTTGCAAGACCTCATTGGGCGGGATATCTGGGAATGGGAATAACGGACCCCGCTATAGAACAAGAGTCCCCCATTACGTGGATGGTTATCATGATTGTCGCATGCTTCGTGTGGAAACATCGCGCATGAGGGTAAAATGATTGTTGTTGATGGTGCTGTTGCTGCTGTTGTTGTTGTTGTTGTTGTTGTTGTTGTTGTTGTCGTTGGTTGCTGTCGTCGCCCCCCCGCGTCATGCCCCGCGACCTGCCCCGCGACCCCCCCCGCGATACACCCGTGACCCACCGGCGACCCCCCCCCGCGACCCAACCACATTACATCAACGAAAAAATCTGCGCCTGCGGCGAGCTCGTTACCCCAAGAGGCCCCAAAAACAGTCCAAGAGTGCCCCCAGTCGCCGAAAGTTCCTCCAGGACGGCCAAGTAGCCCCCAGACGGACCAAGAATCCCCCCAAACGCCCCCAGAGACCTTCAAGAGCCCTTCCAAGAGGGCCCCACGAGGCAACACTCATTGTTGTTTCAATCCGTTTTTGAAAGATTCCAGCGTTCTCCCCTTTTCGGCTTCCCGACGCTCCGCGACGGCCCAAGCGGCTCCCAAGATCCCCCCAAGCGGCCCCAGAGGCTTCCCAGAAGGCTCCTTGACAAACAGAGACGGCCTCCGCAAAGCCCTACAGACGGCCTCCGAGAAGCTCCAAGAGGCCCTCCGTAGGCCCCCACGCAGCGCCCAAAAGGGCACCAAGAAGCCCCCGACCGAAATGTGCCGAAGAGGCCCTCAGAAGCAACACACCACGACCGCCCGTTCCCCCAGGAGTCGGCGGTGTGGCGTGATCCCAAGAAAATCCAGCCGCTCTCGCCCTGCGGGTTGGGCCGTGCGAGACGACTCTGACAAAGTGCCTGGTAGGATTCGCCTGGGCCTGGTCAAAATCTCCCTGGAGTCCCTCCTCTGGGCCTCCACTCTGTCAGCGGTCCCTCGCAGACCCCCACGACGCAAAGCTCTCAAGGAATCCCGGAGGCCCCAAGACGACCCCACAGAGCCCCAAGACGGCCCCCAAAAAGGGTCCAAGAAGGCGTCACGTCGCAAACATACCGCCCCAAGACGCCCAAGATGGCCTGAAGACGGTCCACGAGGCCCGTGAGACGCCCCCAGAGGCCTTCAAGAAACCTTCCAAGAAGGCCCCGAAAGGCAAACATCGTCCTATTCCGACAGGAAAGCGTATACTTTTAGCATGTGCGACTTTTGGGATTCTGAGCGTCCACGACGAGCTTACAAGCCCCCGAGGTCGCCCCAAGATCGCCCCAGAGACCCCGAAGAGGGCCCCAAGACGTGCCAAGACGGCACAAGACGCGCCGAAGACGGCCCATGACTGCCCATGATGGCCCCAAGAGCGCCCTAGAGCCAGAACTCGAAATTACCTTCCAGCTTTCTGCCCAAACAGGACCTCCCAGACCGCCAGCAGGCCTCCAAGAAGCCCCCAAGAGGCCCAACAGAAGCCCCGAGAGGCTCCCAAATGGCGCCCAAGAGCCCCCCAAGAGACTTCAAGACTGCCTCCAAGAAGCTACCGACCAGATGCATCAACCTCTCAAGGAACGGCCGGTGATGCGCCGCGGCGTTCCCGATCTTTAGTCTAGGCCCAACTCGGAAAATGACTCCGAGGTAGGCAATAATGACCGATGGCTCCAGACGTATTCTGAATATCTCAGGAGGTTCCCAATCTAACGTTTCTAGAGGCTCCCCGAGGTAGGGATGACGAGGAGGACTGATGGCAGGCTCGAGGACAAGCTGCACTGGCGGAAACGATTCAGGAGGACGAGGCGGACCATCCTCCTCTGCGAGCCAGCGGGCAAGACCGAGTTCGACGAACTTACAAATGCTGCCGTCAAGGAGGGCGCCGAAGAAGATTTTTGTTACGGTTAAGTCGGGCGTGTCCCCCTACAAGCGGATGTTTGAAACATTGAAAATACTCAAGCATACCCCAAACTAGTCAAAACAAATAACGGAAAAATCGTCCCCTGACTTTTGAAAACTATTTTTAATATTTTTCCTGTGGAGGGACAGGCCCGATTTATCGTTAGGGGGAGGACGGCCCGTCGGGGCATTACTGTCCCCCCCGCGGAAGAGGAGGAGGGACGAGCAGAAGGCGGGAGTGCCAGGGAGGACCACCGAGGAGTGCGAGGGAGGAGGAGGCGGAAGAGGGCGGAGGAGGAGGAGGAGGAGGAGGAGGAGGAGGAGGAGGAGGAGGAGGAGGAGGAGGGGGAGGAGGGGAGGAGGAGGAGGAGGAGGAGGAGGAGGAGGAGGAGGAGGAGGAGGAGGAGGAGGCGGAAGCGGGCGGAGGAGCAGAGCTGGAGGGAAAGCGGCGGGGACCCCTGGCGCGCCCTGGCGCGCCAGGGAGGGGGGTCCAGCGCCGATCCAAGAGAACCGCGGACCTCGAAGGTAGGCTGCAGGCGGAGACCACAGCACAGGCCGCGCGGGCCAAGCGCGTCTCTCGCCATAGACGTCCGAAAGAACTCCCCAGGAGACCGCATCGAGCCCTCGCCGGGGGGCACAAGAGAAGATACCAATCTGGGGGACAGGCGAAGTCCCCCGAAGATACAACGCAACCTCCCCCACCCTCCGCCAAAAACATCTGGGAGCGTCGGGAACTATTCGGGAGCATGCGAAAGCTCTCGAGGCCCGCCGGACAGCACAGGGCATTCGGAACACCTCCTCCTCCCTCCCTGCCCGGCGGATCTCTCGACCCGATCCCCTAGAAGAAAGAGCCATGGCATCTGCAAGCACATACGTTTCAGAGGTCCGCGCGGGCGGAGCTCTTTTCTCGAGTCGGCGCGGGTCCACCCTCCATGTCGCGCAGAATGCGCCAGGGGCGGCGCTAGATGCGCGGATCTACGGTCGGACCGAAGGCAGAAGAACATCCTCCAAGAACTTGAGACCCTTCGCCGACCAAAACACGCGGATCATCCGAGCGTACCCTCCCCAGCAGGCACGAGAACATCCAACAAACTTAAAAAAACATTAGGGTACCCTCCCCGAACCGACCTCGATCTATACCTTGTTCCGAGCGTGGGGAACAGGAAGCGGGAGACACAGACGAGTGACCAGAGGGCGTGCCCCGAGGACCTAGCAGCCGCACTCCGCCAGCACCGGTCATCCCCAAGACAGGCCAGGGACAGCTAGACTTTTGCGGACCATCTGCGGGGGCAAGACAGAGGGGAGGAGGAGGCGGAGCAGGAGCAAGAGGAGGAGGAGGAGGCGGAGCAGGAGGAGGAGGAGGAGGAGGAGGAGGAAGAGGAGGAGGAGGAGGAGGAGGAGGAGGAGGAGGGAGGAGGAGGATGGAGGAGGAAGAGGAGGAGGAGGAGGAGGAGGAGGAGGAGGAGGAGGATGGAACAGGAGGAGGAGGACGAGGCGCCGTGCCCCGCTGGGCGCGTGCGGCGCGGCCGCGGGCGAGGCCTCGAGGTGTCGTCGCTGTTCTCCGAGGTGCCACCGGGGGCGCCCTGCCCAGCGGGCGCGTCGTCGTCGTCGTCGTCGTCGTCGTCGTCGTCGTCGTCGTCGTCGTCGTCGTCGTCGTCGTCGAGAAGGGTCGGGGGGGGAGGGGGAACGGAGGAGGGAGGGAGGTGGGAGGGAGGAGGGGAGCGGAGGAGGGAGGGAGGGAGGAGGGGAGGGGGGAAGGGGAGGGGAGGAGAGAGGGAGGGGGGAGGAGGCACGACGAGGGAGAAGCATGAGGGGGGAGGGCGGGAAGGAGGGAGGAGGGAGGATGATTAGCTCGTCGCCGTCGAAAAGGAGGGGTTGGCGTGATCGTCGTCGCCGATGCCGTGGCCGTCTTCGTTGTGAGCACTCACAGCGTCGCCGCCGTCGCCGCCTTCGGTTTTTCCAAAAACATGATTGTCCTTAAGGATTCTTACTTGTCGGCTCAAGAACTGGGCCTGGCTGGCAGTCCGGCCGGCTTGTTGTCGCCGTCGCTGCCCGTCGCTGGCGTCCGTCGCCGCTGCTTCTGCACTTGGCTGGCGGTCGCCGCGCTTGCTGTCGCCGTCGCTGCCCATCGCCACTGACCGTCGCAGCTGCTTCTACCGCATAGCTCACAAATCATAGCTCTCACCACATAGATCGCACCACCACACAGCTCACTATATATATATATATCATACTACATATGTCGAACTACATAGATTGGGCCACATAGATCCCACCACACATATTGCACCACATGGTTTGCATCTCATACATTGCACCGCGTAACTTACACCACATACGTTGCACTACTTATATTGCTGAACATAGATTGCACCACATGAATTGCATCACGTCCCTGCACAACACTTACACGTTTCGAATGACCCGCTCGGATTCATGACATGAGCTGCGGGCCTCATAGGGAGGGGGCTCCCGCCTGCGACTTCCTCGCGGTTCAGTCTGAGACGAGGCTCCCGCCTGAGAATTCATCCGTACCACGCTGGAAGAAGCCAAATGCGACGACAATCATGGCAAGTTTCAGATGACCCGCTCGGACTACTATCATGAGCTGCGATCCCCATCGGGAGGTGGCTCCCGCCTGAGAACTCCTCGCATTTTACTCACAGACGAAGCTCCCGCCTGAGAATGAGGGCCGAACGATCATTCACTGTCCCTGGGTGCGTGGCTGAAATGGGACTCCGCAGCGCGGATACTGCTCGTTGCATTGTTGCAATACGTTGTTGCGTTGTTGTCGTCGTCCCACCCGCCACCTCCCCCCGCGACCCCCCCGCGACCCATCCGCGTCCCACCCGCGACCCACCCCGCGCCCGCCCCCTCACTCTTATCCACAACTACGGGGTGCTGTACACACATGTGTAGTACCCTATAATATGCTAGAGCGCACTGAATGGGTTCTACGTTGGCTAACATATGTTTGCAAAATGTTTCCGAATGTTCTCGTCACAACGGCTGGAAGCGGCTCGGAAAACTTGCTAAGGCGGGCTCCGAGCGAAGGTACGTAGACCGGCTTTGAGCAGCTTTGAGGTCAGCGTCGTCACCTCAAAATCTAAGCTCGATGTTTGTGGGTGTATGTTGCCTTTGCTGAGCCTCCTCCAGAAGCATTCGGGTACCCACGGAGATCTCCGGACGACGTTGGTCGTCGTCGTCGCCGCCTACGCCACTGCCGCCGTCGTCATCGCCGTCAGGAGGATAGTGGACGGAGGATGAGGAGCCCTTTCCTCCCTCCTGTGTCCTCCATGCCCCGTGTTCCCTGACCGCCCCCATCTGCACCCCTCCCCCATCCTCCTCATCCTCCGCCCTTGTCCTTCACGTCCTCCTCCATTTCCCCCCCCCGCGTCCTGGGCCCCGACGGCGCTGGGGGGAGAGGGTGCCGAAGCACGTCGGCAGGCCGAGCCAAGCCCGACATGTCTGGGGCTGCTGCTCCCCCGCGGGGAAGTGGTGGTGCTCACATGGGGGGGGCATCACCGCCGCTGGAAGACAAGTTGCGCACAAGGCCTCGAAGCCTCAAGAGGCCCCCCAATAGGCGCCCAAGAGACTCCCAAAGATTACCACCAAAGGCCCCCAAGAGACCCCAAAGCTGCCCCAAAGGGGCCCCCACGAGGCCCCCAAGAGGCTCCCAAGAGGCCCCACAAGAGGTCCCCAAGAGGCCCCAAACCTGCCTCTAAGAGGCCCTAAGAGTTCCCCAGGAAAGCGCCCTCAAGAGACGCCAAGAGACATCCCTGAGGACTCTGACCCACAACCCACAAACCAGGCACGGTGGCGGGGTGGGCCGAAAGGATAAAACGTCTCGAAGGGCGGGCCCCTGCCCGAATCTTGCTTCGGTGCGGATCGTGAGCGCCCTTGTCCCCGTCATCGTCGTCGTCGTCGTCGTCGTCGCCGTCGTCGTCGCCGTCGCCGTCGCCGTCGCCGTCGCCGTCGCCGTCGTCGTCGTCGTCGTCGTCGTCGTCGTCGTCGTCGTCGTCGTCGTCGTCGTCGTCATCATCATCATCATCATCATCATCATCATCATCGTCGGCGTCTTCGTCGTCGTCGAACGAACCACGCCATGGCCGGATGTCCCATCGCGTTTGCCTTCCAAGCCGAGAAACCATGACTGCGCTGCCTCCGGACTTTCGCAGAGGGATGATGGACCCCTCGCTGGTTCGGCGGCGGCAATCCGCGATGGGGAAAAATATGCAGGGTGACCCAGCGCGGCTAAACTCCTGCGGCTCAAGATGCAGTAGGGGCCCTTCCACAAGAAACCTCCTCCTACTCCTCCTCCCCCTCATCCCCTTCTTCCTCCTCCTCCTACTCCTCCTCCTCCTCCTCCTCCTCCTGCTCCTCCTCCTCCTCCTCTCCCCCTCCTCCTCCTCCTCCTCCTCCTCCTCCTCCTCCTCCTCCAGCTCCTCCTCCTCCTCCTCCTCCTCCTCCTCCAGAGAAACCTTCCACAAGAGACCCAACCCTGAGACCCCAGGACGTCCACTGGTTTTTGATGCGGAATATCGCGCCTTCCACAGCAAGACCATCGAGACCTAAGAAACCCAGGGCACACTGCAGGCAAGCGGGGAGTTTCTTGGCAGGGGTCTCCAGTAGGATCAATGACGATCAATATACGATCAGAAACGTTGCATGTCTCAGATCGTACCCCATTGTTTGCATGAGACGCTACGCGTGCGATACCAAGATATGCAGGCCATCTAGTGGCTTCCTCCACATGTGGATGTAGAATGTGGAGACCGTCACATCATGGTCGGCAGTACGGCACTCGGCATCCGAATGCCCCCAATACTCCAAGGAACGCTTTGGGATCAGTATTACAGCCACCATCGTTGAGCTTCACGCGCCCTTTTGAGAGGACCAGCAAACAACACTACAACAATAAACGCCCAAATAACATCGCCTGAAAAAGAAAAACTGGGACAAAATGGGTACGGAAACGTGTCGAACACATTGCAAGGCACATTGCTTGCATGTTGAATGAACATTTTGTTTACAATATCCGTCTTAATCGTCGCACGGATGTTACTACTGGTAGTAATATTGACCTCCGACTGAGTACTGGTACTCGCGTGGGCAATCGCGTTCGCATGCATGTTGATACCCATATCATACATGCTACGGGTTTCAATACTAGTAGCATTGGTACGGATAGTGGCGTCATTAACAACATACTTAGCCGAATCAGTGATAGCATGCCGTCCGTAGTCATACTGAGATATGTGAGACCAGCGTTACTAAGCCCGATAATAAACATTTTGCTTTGGTAATCTGCACCAGCACGACACAAGTATTTTCACTCCTGGCAATACTGACACCAATGTAGATGGTACAACTAAGTCTGCGAATAACCGTACTCCTATACTGCCAGCCGAACCGATCATAACTAGTACTGTTACTATAAGACACGCGTGGTTCTGAATACGAGTGCAATTGGCAGTAAGTGGTAGTAGTAGTACTAGTGAAGGCTAGCAATCGTCGACGTCGCAATACTCATAATAATCGTAGCACTTTCAGGTCGTAGTATTAGTACTACTAGTAGTAGTAGTCGTAGTAGTAGTAGTAGTAATAATAATAGTGGTAGTAGTAGTATTTGTTGTTGTTAAAGTCATTGCCTTAATAATAATAGTGGGAGTGGTAGTAGTAGTAGCAGTAGCAGTAACAGTAGTAGTAGTAGTAGTAGTAGTAGTAGTAGTAGTAGTGGTGGTAGTAGTAGTAGTAGTAGTAGTAGTAGTAGTAGTAGTAGAAGTCGTAGTAGTAGTACTAGTAGTAGTAGTAGTAGTAGTAGTAGTAGTAGGAGGAGGAGTAGTAGTAGTAGTAGTAGAAGTAGAGTAGAAGTAGTAGAAGTGTAGTAATAGTAGTACTACTAGTAGTAGTATTAGTAGTAGTAGTAGTAGTCGTAGCAGTAGTAGTAGTAGCAGTAGTAGTAGTAGTAGTAGTAAGTAGTAGTAGTAGTAGTAGTAGTAGTAGTAGTAGTAGTAGTAGTAGTAGTAGTAGTAGTAGTAGTAGTAGTAGTAGTAGTAGTAGTAGTAGTAGTAGTAGTAGTAGTAGTGGTAGTAGTAGTAGTAGTAGTAGTAGTAGCAATAGTAGTAGTAGTGGTCGTAGTAGTAGTAGTAGTCGTAGGAATAGTGGTAGTGGTAGTGGTAGTGGTAGTGGTAGTAGTAGTAGTAGTAGTAGTAGTAGTAGTAGTAGTAGTAGTAGCAGTAGCAGTAACAGTAGTACTAGTAGTAGTAGTAGTAGTAGTAGTAGTAGTAGTAGTAGTAGTAGTAGTGATAGTAAAGGCCCACGAGGTGGACTGCTGGGATCCGGTGAAAACTGCTTAATGATACTCTGCCAAAGTGGTGTAATTTGGCAATCTTGGGAACTGAACGTAACACCTTTGGATGGTGGACGAAATAGACACTCATGCGTTGGTATGCTTGGGTATCGATGGATCCAATGCTGATACCAAGCTATGTGAAATCCCAAACTAGAACGTCAAATGTTAATGTTGTGTTTGGATAGCATTCGACATTTGAACGTCGCGTTGAAGCCCGAGCAAAGGAACGTCCACGGCCAACCATGATATGTTGACGCTTGCCCCTATTGTTCCTGATCCCTCTCTCCATGACACATCCGCGATGATACAAAACATGATACGCGTCCCTTTAGATCAAAACGAGCTTGGGACAACGAAGTGGGATGCCAAGTGCTTGGACACCACTCAACCTCGCCCTCCAACAATTGCGTATCAGGGTCATCCGTAAACATTGTAATGCAGGGCATCAGGATAGTAGGGTATCGAGGTATTTGAATCTGTGTCGGCGTGCTTCTCTGGCAGGCCCATTTGGGCCAGTCGACGCATCACTAAACTGGAACTTGGGCTGGACGATGCCGGTCAGCGCACGGTCGAGGCGGGGAAAGGAGGCAGGGGGGAAAGTAGGGAGAAGAGGAGGTGCCCCTCCCATCTTCAAGGCGACTGCTCCCCGCCCTCCTCTTTCGGCACCGCCCTGGTCTCCAGCTCGGAGGAGACGGCGGCATGCAGCCTGTTCCGGCCGATGCTGCAACAGATGCGAGACGTCAGCCAGCATTCATGGAAGGGGGAGGGGAGGCAATGGTGGAGAAGGGAGAGAGCTGGGGTGGAAGGATGTGGCTTGTTTCAACAACCTCGAATTCAAAAATGAGTACGTCATCTCGAAATTTGGCCCCTAGAATGTCACCTTTGCTTGAACGGGAGGTATGGCGAACCCCAGTCCCTGACCTTGTCGCACTTTCGACTGGACATAAGAAAAAACGATACTCGCGGATGTACGATTGGAGGCCTCCTAGATGGGTTCCGAGTAGACGGGGTCGGAGGGTCGAACCGCATCGGCAATGCATCGGAGACGCCGGCGTGGAGAATATCGGGCTCCGCATCGAGCCGCATCGGCGATGCAGCGGCGATGCGGCGCGATCCACCGACCCCATCTACTCCGATCCCCAACTAGGAGGCCTAGAGATGGGGGAGCGGGGGCGTCCGTGCTTGCTACAGCGTGCGCCCGAGCAGCCCCCAGGGGCGCAATGGGGGACACTCAGTGTTAGGCCGGGCATGTCCTCCTAGAGGCGGATTATGGACAAAAAAAGAACATACCCAAACCATAATCAAACAGAGTCAGGGACCCAGGGCGAGGCGTCGCCTGCGACGCACTTTTTCCGCCGGCTTCCCCGCCGAAGACGAGGCTGCGCCGCGCCGAAGGCACGGCTGGCTTCTGGACCGCGCCCCGCGGAGACGACTACCGTTGTGTTTGGCACATGCTCCTGCTCCTCCTGCTCCTCCTGCTCCTGCTCCTCCTGCTCCTCCTCCTTGCTCCTGCTCCTTGCTCCTGCTCCTGCTCCTGCTCCTCCTCCTCCTCCTCCTCCTCCTCCTCCTCCTCCTCCTCCTCCTCCCTCCTCCTCCTCCTCCCCCTCCTCCTCCTCCTCCTCCTCCTCCTCCTCCTCCTCCTCCTCCTCCTCCTCCTCCTCCTCCTCCTCCTCTTCCTTCTCCTCCTCCTCCTCCTCCTCCTCCTCCTCCTCCTCCTCCTCCTCCAGGCTGGCCTCTAGAGGGGCTCCGCCGGGCGAGGGAGCGCGGAGGGACGGCAGGGGGGCGGGCCGGGGTCCTGTGGTCCTGTCGGCCTGGGCCGAGGCAGACCCGGGCCGGGCGGGCTTCGCAGGATCCTGCAAGATCCCGCAGGCGGCTTCGGCCACACGCAGGCAGAACGCGCTTCTGTATTTTCGGCGATACTGGGCAGTGTAGGGGGGTGGGATGGGGCCGGGGGGGGGGGTACAATGTCACGCCTCCCCCCCGCCTATTTTCGGCGATAATGGACATTATGGGGGGGATGGGATGGGGCCGGGGGGGGGGGTACAATGTAACGCCTCCCCCCCGCCGTGTGCCCGAAGCGCACGGCGGCAGTGCCCGGAGCGCACTGGGGGGGGAGGGGCGTTACGTCATAAGGGGGGGGGGTCGGGAGCTATCATGTCCATTGTGTCCCGAGCAATGCAGACACACGCTCGAGGGACCACGAATGAAGCGTGACCTTTGGTGCGCGTTTTTGGGGGAGCCGCGGGGGGGCCAAGCACAAGCGCGCAAGACGTTACTATCGCACCGCGCTCGGCGATCTGGAGGCCCCCGTGGCACCAGTGGGCGCGCAGCAAATGTCACTCTGGCGAAGGGTCGCTCCTACGTGGCACGGCGGGCCGCGCGCCTCGACCGGCGCGACGGCGCGAGGGCACGCACTCCGCAGGGTGCTCAAGCGCATTGCGCCCGATGTTGACCGCGTCGGACTAGTCGATATTCGGCGGTGGACAAACCTCCCTTCAGTAAACTTCCCCTCAAAGGAAAACGGCCTCGGACCGAAACCGACGGGCCTGGACCCGAAAAAATGACGGCCGCGACGCCCTCTCGCGAACCGAAAACGGCCAATTCCTTAATCGACGTGTCAGGGTAGGAGGTCTATCAACCTCGGGAATATTGCCCGACAAGCTCCCGGGGCGCACTGACCTCGCCGTCCTCTCGCTCTCCGCGCAGCCGGCGCCGAACCCCCAGACAACTCTGCCACCGCGACGCCCCGCTCGCGCAGCGCGACCGGCCCCGAGGCACGACACCGAGCAGCCTGCGCCCCCTCCGCGGCGAGACCCCGCGCCCGCAGGAGACGCCTCCGCCGCGCTCCGCCGCGCGTCCGCGGCGACCGCCCCGCAGCCCCAGGGGTGCCCCATGGGTCACTGGCGAGGCGAGGCGTCGACATCATGCACATCGCCAGCTCGTCTCGCCCTCTTCTTCTCCTCCTCCTCCTCCTCCTCCTCCTCCTCCTCCTCCTCGATCCGAGCCTCGCTCGGCTCCTGGGGTAGCTGATCATCGCGATCCACCGCCGCGCCTCGTCGAGGCAGCTGGAAGCCTGACGGCTCAGCATTAAAGGCGACGCCCGCCGGTCACGCGCGCCCTGCGTCTCCACGAGCGCGGCGACAGGCTCTGCTTTGACGAAGTAAGTTCCCTCGGAGTCGTCAGCGCCCATGCTCCAACGACGCTGCTGCCCAGCCGGCTCCCGCACCGGGAAGCGCCGCAACTCCGGACTGGCTACCAGGCCAGCCATCTCTTTCAGGCACTGTTGCGACCTGGCGACGCGCGTGCTATGCCGCACCAGCGGCGGACAGCCACCTCGCGGGAATCATCTCGATGCGCGCGCGTAAGTGTGCACGCCCCGTCGGGACCATAGGACCGCCGCGGTTTCGAGAGGGCGGAACCTCGCCGCCAGCGCGGCGGCACCGCGCCCAAGCGGGGGCAGCGCAAAGTCTGGCCGGCGCCGGCGGTGGCGAGGCTCGCGATCGGCCCCTGCGAGGGCGCCCCGTCGGGGCGCCCCCGCTCGCGCGAACCCCGCGCGCCCCATCGTGCAACCTCTTCCCGTGGGCCACGGGGGCCCGTGCCTCATCTACTAGGGCGAGAAAACCTGTCGAGGAGCTGCTCCGCGACAGGGCCCCATTCGTCGTCGTCGCAGTGCGCCTCGGCGCTGACCACCTCGGGCCGTTCCAGCGGCAGCGCGAACTGGCTCTCGCCCTCGAGCTCCGCGCATAAAGCGAGGGGCTGCAGACTCCGACTTCCTGGAGTTTGCCACGACTCCTGGGCGGAGACAAGCTGGGCGCGGTCTGCGCTCGCGCGATCGTCACTGGCTTGGCGACCGCCTCGACGCGCCCGAAGCTTGCCCTCCTGACCCCCTCCTGCCAGGCCATCTCGGAGCCGCGCAATCGCTGCCGCGGCGTGAGCGCGCACGAACTGCGGCCTCATCCACTCGACGGCCTCCGGGCCACTGGTCAGAGAAGCCGCGGCTGCGGCGGGGGCCGGCGGCGATCTCTCTCCCGCACGCGAAGCGGGGGGGCGCGGGGGGAAGACGCGCGGGAACTCGCGCTCAGCGGGCGTGGAGCTGCCCGAAGTGGGCGCCAGCACAAACAAACAACCCCGAGCCCTCGGGAAAAGCGCGGAAGAAATCGGATAACACGGGGGGAGATAAATCGGAGAAGCATGGGGGCGTGGCGGCGCTGTCCACAGGCAGGGCGCAGGCGCGGGCGCGGCCGGCCTGCGGGGCGCATGCAAATGGAAGACCTCTCGGGGGATGCCGAGCGTCTACGTGGCGAAGCCCAACCAGAGAATGCATCTTGCAATGGGGCGCGCGCGCAGAGTTGGGCGTCGGAGCTGGCTAGCTCTGAGCAGGGCATCTGCGGGGCACGCGGCTCGTTGAAGGGCGCGCGCCAGAGGTCGTCGAAAGCCGGGCGGCGGCAGAACTGGAGGGCGGTCTGACCGCTGCTGCCGGAAAGCCTGGGCGGAAGGGGTGCTCCCTGGCGGCGCTCACGCAGCTGGCGGTCGAGCTATAGCGCCAGCCTTCGCCATCGCGACGGCGTCGGCGCGAGCCTCGGGCTTCGGAAAGGGCCCTTGGGAGTCGACCCGTGGGGGGCGATGCGCGGCCCCAAGGCCCCGGCGCAGGCGGCGGAGCTGCCGCCCGCCCCCGGGCTGCTGGCCGGGCCCCGCCGAGGTGCAAGCGGGCTGGGGCGCCCGCCTTGAAGCGCGGCCCCGCCGCGCGTGGAAGACGGGCGGGGGCGGGGCCCGGCGGCTCGAGAGGAGTGCCGTGGCCGTGACGCCCTGGCAGGGGAGCGATGGGCCCCCCGTCCCACCCACTGGCAGCCTGCTGGGCCTGCTCGGGCTGCGGGTGGCCAGGGGCCAGCTCGTCTTCCTGGTCTTCGGCGCGCTCTGAGGGCGGCCCCCTCCGCGGGGCCGCGCGCCGTGCCGCGTCGCGCCCGCTGCGCCGCCGCGCGCGCGCGCGCCTGCCCTCTGACGACGCGCGCAGGTCCTCGACGCTGCCGCGATCCGAGACGAGGTGGTTCGCATGGATGACCTGCAGGGGGGGGGCATCCAGTAGCCGACGCCGACCTTCCAGCGGAAGTTACGGCGGCCATCACCGATCACCACCATTGATATTCACGCTCTGCGTGGAGCCACCGAGGCGCGGGAGCAGCGGGCTGCAGTCGCCGCCTCGCGGCGATCTCGACCGCGCGGCGCGCTGCTGCAGACGCCCGCCGCGCCCTCTGCCCAGGCCAAAGCCTCGTGTCGGAGTGAAGGACGAGGCGCGGCACCCCTGTCGCAGACGTCACGACGTTCGACTCCTCGTCGTGAAGGCCGTAGAGCGCCTCGCCAGACATCGGGCCATTCGCCTCACGTCCACTCCCTGGAACCAAAGGGGCAGCGGTCCTCATGGAGACCCTCGCCTGCCCGACCTGAACCCGCTCTGGCGCCAGAGCGGCGGCGGTCTGACCTGCGACGCTCTGGGCCCCATCCGACGGCAGAAGGACCGCCTCGCCCTGTGGCGCTGGAAGGGGGGGCAGAGGAGATGGTGGCATCCTTCGGAGCTGGCGCTGCGGCCGCGCCTGGCCGGGCAGAGCGCTGCTTGGCCGTCCTCGTCTTCGCCCTCTGCGCCCGCTTCTTGACCGTCTGGCCGCCTGCCTCCTGCTGCGGGGCCGCTGGGCGATGGGGGCCTGCTCCGGCGGGCCCCCGGCTTCGCCTGCGCTCTGGTCCTTAGGCGGAGCGCTCCGCCCCGCGAAGCTTGTTTTTCGTCCTTCTTCGACGTGTCCTCGATCCCGCTCAGCATCGCTGTCTGCGCCTCGCACTGCCCGACCAACATCTGCGCGGGCGGGGCTGCGAGACCGATCGGCCGACGCGGAATGAGCTCGCGCTGCGCCACTAAGGCCCCGCAGCCTCTCTACGCCTTCACCTCGCAGCACTTGAACCTCGGCGCGCATGCGTCGGCGGCGCCTGGGAGGTCACCCGCGAGCATGGGGCGCCCCTGACCTCGGACAAGGCACGCATGCCTTACCCCAGCTCGCGCCCAGCGTCGCTGGGGGATGGCGACGTGAACGAATGTCGTCAAGTACAATGGAGGCCCGTCCACAAGAGAACCAAACCTGAGACCCCAGGGCGTCCATCGATTCTGAATTGTAGGGACGTCACGCCGTCCATGGCAAAACCATCGAAACCCCAACAAAGCCCAGGGCACCCTGGAGGCAAACAGGGTGTTTTTTGGAATGGGCCCCCACTTTAAACTGTTGTTTGATCCGCTGGGGCGTGATTCCCTCCAGCCGTCATGCCGGGTCGAAGGCGATGCGAGTCGACGCGGCCGAGCTCGCGACCCTTGTCGGGGCCGATCACCTGGCCGTGGGCCGACGCGCCGTCGCAGAAAGGCACCACCGACCTGCCGCCCGCCCCCTTCTGGAGGTCAACGAGCAGGTTCGCGCTCGCGCCCATCACCACGCCCATGAAGCACGCCTCCAAGAATGCACAGTTCTTGCCGTCCACCGTGAATGAGCGGCCGACGGCGTAGATGAGGAACTGGCGCGAATTGCTGCACACCTCGCAGCGCACCTCGATGACGGGCCTGCGGTCCACCTCCATGAGAGGAGGCCTGGGCCTGTCGTTCTCGACCGCCGTCATCCGGCGCCCTGGCTCGCCCCCTCGGAGCTCGGGGCGGTCGCGGAGGGCCGCAACCTTGGCCTTCTTATTTGGCTCGCCCTTAGCCTAGGGGCGCGGCGGGGTAAATTCCTCCTCGTCTGCTCAAGCGACGGCGAGCGCCTCCCCTGTGCGATCGGGAATGGCGGCGTATGGCGGCGGCGGTTTCCTGGGCGGCGTCCACCACCGCCTTCTTCCTCCGCTGGTGCGGGATTAAGCAAGAGATGGAGCGTTTAACCATTTCCTCCTCCTCCTCCTCCGTCTTTTTCTTCATCAACCTCCTCCTCCTCCTCCTCCTCCTCCTCTTCCTCCGTCTTCTTCTTCATCAGCCTCCTCCTCCTCCTCCTCCTCCTCCTCCTCCTCCTCCTCCTCCCCCTCCTCCTCCTTAGGTTACTCGCCCTTCTGATTCCTACCCGAAGTCGTGCACACTTCCACCGCCTCATGGAGCCCGCGGCTGCAGTGCCAGGGGGCGTTCGGGGCCCGTGGAGGGCCTCTCTCCTGCCGTCGTCGGCCCCCTGTTTGTGTAGGCCGCCTCAACTGAAGGGGCCCTGGGACAAACAAAACTACATACTTTTTCGGTCGGCGGGTCGAGAGCGGGCCTCTTCCGGTTAAGAGCTAGGCGGGGCGCGCGAAGCACTAATTGGGGAGTGAGGGCGCGGGCGGGCGGAGCCTCAGGCGGTCGGAGGGTGCGGAGCACAGGCGGTGCCGAAGAGCTTGCACAGGAAACGGTACACCTTGGACAGGTCAAACATAAACACACACGAATCCCAGAATTCCCCATCGTTTCCCGCATGTTCCGGGTCTTCGTCGTCCCGCCCCACCTCCCACATGTTCACACATTTTCAGGGGGATCGACGATAAAATTCTGTCGGTGTGTTTCTTCCCCTCCTGCTTACCTTCGCAGTTGTCTTCGCGACACCGCGCCTTCGCACCGCCATTTGTTAGAGAAAGGGCAACCGCTGGCCGCTGCCCGACGGCCATTCTAATCCTCGCGCTAACCACCAAGTCTACCCGTCCCGTGGTCACTTACCACCAGTCCATCATGACCCCCTCCTCGTGCTAATCACCGAATCGTTGTCTCGAAGATCTTCGTACCGAAACGCTCACAGAGTAAGTACAACAACAACAACAATAACAACAAACTCAACAACACTAACAACACCAATAATAACAACAACAGCAACAACAACGACAAAACATCAGCAACAAAACCAGCAACAACAACAACACCAACAACAACAACAGCAACAACAACAACAGCAACAACAACAGCACCACCAACAACAACAACAACAACAGCAACAGCAACAACAACAGCAGCAACACCACCAACAACAACAACAACAACAACAGCAGCAGCAGCAGCAGCAGCAGCAACAACAACAACAACAACAACAACAACAACAACAACAACAACAACAACAACAATCACAATCACAATCACAATCACAATCACAATCACAATCACAATCACAACAACAACAACAACAACAACAACAACAACAACAACAACAACAACAACAACAACAACAACAACAACAACAACATTAACACGAACGTAAACGTTTGGAGGTCCGTACGGATTTATCGGACCTGCACTGGGACCCGCTGCCTGGCACGAGGAGCGAGCCAGGGGCGGCGCTGGAGACCCCAGCACCAATCCAAGAAATCCGCGCGGAACCTCCGAATATTTATGTTTACTGAATTTGCTGTTGCTCGAGATCCAGCCGCAACGTGAAGCCAATGCCGCGCGATTCGGCGACGCGTCGCGCCGATTCGGTACGGAAGCGGGACTCGTCGCTAATCCACGCGCCTTAATCCACGCTTGCGCTTCAGGCGGCGCGCATGGGAGACGGTATGGGGGGATGCAGATGGGGGGATGCATCGACCTGAAATCGGCGATACATTGCCGATAGGTAGGCGACAGGCCCCCGATAGCGAACCCGCACAGTCCTGTGCAGGTTGGGGCTATCGGGCCCCTACTGGCGATCAATGGCCGATTGGGGGTCGATGCATCCCCCCCTATGCCCATCCCCCCCTATCGTTTCCCCCTTCCCCACCCCCCGCTCTCTGCGCGTGGCCGATCCTGGATTCTCAAAGATCACCGCACCGCAGCGCTCCAACCGCCGCCCTCCAACCCGTGCGGCGGGGCCGCTGCGCGGGCCTCCTGAACTCGTGGCTCGAGGTCCGGTCGGACCTGAGCCCCGCCGCCCATCTTGGCGACGACGACGACGAAAACGACGACGACGACGACGAGCGACGGACGGCGGTCCTGGGTAAAGGGGGTCTCTCTCTGCCTCTCTCTTTGGCTCTGGGCAGAATGGGATATACCGTGAAGGGGGTCGCAAGAGCACATGCAGCAGTTCCTCCTGTGGATAGGTCGGGCATGTCCCCCTACAGGCGGCTTTTGGACAACAAATTTAAAATAGTGAGAAAGTACTCCCAAACGGCCAAGAATACTAAAAAACGTCCCCTGACTATTTTTAAACTATTTTTCCTCCTGTAGAGGGATCGACCCGACTTAATCCTGTGGCGCAAAGCGCGTGGTAACAACGTACTGCTATCATACGACGGGTGCCGAGACCACCCCAGGCTGCGTTCCCAAAGCCTCAGAGAGGTGATCTGCGTATTCTCCACGGCGCCACCCCAGAGCAACTTGTCGCGATCTCCGCCAACAGTGTGAAACCAAGCGCGCTGCCGCTGAAATCGTGCAGCAGCGCCGACATCGAGAATAGGAGAGAGCAGGGGCGGGAAAGGGCGCGAAGAGGACGAGCACCCAGAGGCACGAAGACACCGAGCCCGAGGTTCTTCTGCCCGTCTTCCGCCTCCAGGGGAGAGGAGGCCCGCGTCGGGCCCGCGGAGCCGTCAGTGACAGAGCGGCTCGGATCGACGCGGTCGACAGGCCGCTGCCTAAGGCGAGAGAGGGTCGAGGGGTGCCAGCCCGCAGAGCTCGGGAGCATCCAGTCGTCAGAGGTCATGGGAGACTGCCCCAGGCTGCCCTGCGGGCTCGTGCAGGTCAGAGGCTGCCTCCGGGGAGGAGGGAGGAGGAGCCCCAGGAGGAGGGAGGGGAGCGGGAGGTGATCACAAGCCAAGGTCCGGGATGCGGCACCGGAGCGAGCACAAGGAGAGCGGGGACCGATCCAGACAGAGTCGGCACCGCGAGAGCGTCTGAACTCTGCCCTGCGGCACAACATGGAACTGTGGGGCCAGTCAGACCTGAAGACCTGATCAGTCTCGGGCATCCTCCTGACCCTTGCAGATCCTTAGATTCAAATGGATTTGCATACCCTTGAACCTCTGGAGGTCCAGCGCCGACCCGAGAAATCGGCACGGACCTCCGAACGTTTACGCGCGTGCGGTGTTGTATGTTTCAAGATCTGGATCCCTGATCATAGCAGCACATGCCATCTGCCCCACCCTGCCGAGCCTCAGCAACGCGTAACGCTTCGCGTAGTCCGTGATCACAGCCTGATTGGTGCGGGCGAGCCTCGGCCTCATTACACATGCCTGCACGGTGTACCACCACGTTAGGAGTGAGCGCGCTGCCCATACTACGCCAGGGGATGAATAGAAACTTTCCGCCACACGGATTGGATGCAACATTTGCCAACGCACGCGCACGAGATCCTGTCGCAAGACTGCTGTCATAATTCATAGCGGCTTGGGAACGGAGGAGCGCCTCTATTCCTCATCCTCCCTCGGTCCCCTCCTCCTCCTCCTCCCTCCGACCGAACCTTGTTGCCGTTCTCCGCCGCAGGAGGGGGGCCTCTGTCCTACACCATGGGCCCACGCCTTCCCCATGCTCCTCCAACTCCGCCTCCTCCTCCTCCTCCTCGATGCTCGCTGCTGAAGGCGGGTCCGCTACCGCTGGGTACCAACATCGCTACTCCCGGACCCAGGGTGCGTTCTGACCAGACCTTCGAGGCGAATCCAGCGGTGGCGACGAGGACCTCCTGGGAAGCCCCCAAAGGGGAAACGGAGGCAAGGGTCGCGGTATCGGTACCTGTTCCTCCTCTGACGTTGATTAATTCCTGGTGCCTACCCAGACCCCCGACGTCGTGATTCCTTCACAACGTCGACCCCCAGAGGTCTGGACCTCTTCCCCGGGACCAGTTTTTCATCCTGAGTCGTCTTCTGATGATCCCGAAGGCAAAAAAAAGGCCCCTGGAGGCTGGAAATAGCCGAAAACCTCCCGTCGTGACTTTTTCACACCGCGAGAAAATCTGGGCAGCTCTAACTCCTGAAGCCTGGGGCGGCCGTCGTCGTCGACGTCGCTGGGTGGGCGCCATCAGCCAGTCGGTGGCGTTCCCGGCGACGGCCAGGAGCACCTGCCGGCTCTCCCCTCCCTCCGCCCCCCAGCAGTCCACCTCTCCTGGTCCTCAACCCCTCGTCCTGCTCCTCCCCCCCGTCACCCCCTGTTCCCTCCTCCCTTCCCCCCCTCCTCCAGTCTCCTTCGATCTCCTCCTCGCCAATTCCTTCTCCGTTTCCCTCCTCGTCCTTCCCCGGAAACGGAGAGAGCCCGGGGTCGGGATGAGTCGGGAAGTGGCGCCGCATCGTCGATGCATGGGCGACGTCGGCGCGGAGAGAATCGAGCTCCACATCGAGCCACATCGCCGATGCATTGGCGATGCAGTGCGATCCACCGGCCCCAGCCAGGTACTTCGCCTCCACGTGGGCGGTCTGGACCACACCCTCCTTCTCTCAGAGGGGAGGACCTACCTCGTTTTTGTACAAGGCAGTTGTTAATACATGGGATGTTTTTAAATATAGAAGTGTTAATACATGATTAAGTCATGAATAAGTTTAGGCATGAACTCATCGTTGCTTTTAGTACTCAATCCCTGCATGTTTAATACATGATCCGCACGCGGAGCATGTATTAAAAACGGCACTGCACCCTCCTTCTCTCAGAGAGGGAGGACCTACCTCGCTTTTGTAGACCCTCGCTTCCAAATGGGAGCCACACAATACCAACTTGCTCGCGGGGAGCGTGCCCGTGGCCCCGCGCGCCAGCACACGATCCGCATCCCCGCCGAAGGAGGAGGAGGAGGAGGAGGATGAGGAGGAGGAGGAGGAGGAGGAGGAGGAGGGGGAGGAGGAGGAGGAGGAGGAGGAGGAGGAGGAGGAGGAGGCGGAGGCGGAGGCGGAGGAGGAGGAGGAAGAGGAGGAGGAGGAGCCTCCCGCCCCTCTGCGCAGTCCTGGACTGCACGCCGCGACCCTTTCCTGATCGAATCAACCTGCCTGGGGATGGCAGAGAGCCCGGCATCGAATCGACGGACATCGTCAGCCGAGTCGGAAAAAGTCGAATCGGCGGAGCTCGGCGCGGGCTGGTAGGCCTCCAGTGAAGCATCGGAGTCCAAATCGGACTCCCAAGTCGAATCGAATCGGAACCGGAGGCCATCGAAATCGGACCGAATCGTATCGGAGGAATCAAAATGGGCCCTGCGGTGGTACGGCACGCGTCATACACTTCGTGCTGGGGGAACACGGGACCACGGCCCGCATGCCCACGGGGCGGCCAACGCAGGGGAAGCGCCCAGCCCACCCTTCCCACGCACCTGGTGGTGCGACGACGAAGTGCTACCTCAGAGGACGAGGCCACCCGTTGGGCGTCGCTCACCCACTGGGGGGGCGACACAGGCCCCCTTTGGGGCCCTCGCGGGCCCCTTCTCTGCGGCCCTCGCTGCCACCCGAGATTTCTCGCCCCTCCATGACGCGACGCCCAAACAGCAACCTCTGGGGCCTCTTGAAACCTCCGAGGCCACCCGACTCCACGGCCCGCACCACGCGATGCACGCTAAGCGCGGTCTTCCTGGCGCCCTCGCCCCGCCAACCTGGAGGGGGGCGACTCTCCAGCCCAGACCACGACACACGACGCGCGCTCATCTTCACGCCCTCGCAGGCGATCCGCAGCGGGAGCCCGGCCCACATGGGAGCAAGACGGCCAAAGATGGCTCCAAGACCACGACCCATGAGCTCCTCCCTCCACCCTCCTCCTCCTTCTCCTCCTCCTTCTCCTCCTCCTCCTCCACCTCCTCCTCCTCCTCCCTCCCTCCCTCCCTCCCTCCCTCCTCCTCCTCCCCCTCCTCCTCCTCCTCCCTCCTCCTCCTCCCTCCTCCTCCTCCTCCTTCTCCTCCTCGTCCTCCTCCTCCCGACACTCCTCGCCTCCTCCTCCTCCTTCTCTTGCCCGGTCGCCCTGCGGGCACGCGGACGGAGCACCGCAGCTGTTGCGACGGCCATGAGGAGGCTCATCGAGTCGAATCTGGCGGACGGGCCGAGCATCGTCGGGCGTCGTCCACGGTCGACGGTTGTCGGCCGCGATCGGTCGTCGTCGTCGTCGGTCGTCATCGTCGGTCGTCGTCGACGGTCGACGGTGGTCGGCCGTGATGGGTCGGTCGTCGTCGTCGTCGTCGTCGTCGTCGTCGTCGTCGTCGTCGTCGTCGTCGTCGTCCGCCTTCATCCGCCTTCGTCTGCCGTCGCCGTCGCCGCTGTCGTCGCCAGCGCCGTCGCCGTCGACGTCGACGTCGTCGTCGTCGTCCTCGTCGTCGTCGTCGTCGTCGTCTTCGTCGTCGTCGTCCGTCGTCCGTCGTCGTCCGTCGTCCGTCGTCCGTTATCCGTCGTCGGGAGAATCGAGAGAGGCTGAGCAGTGCAAAACATGCACAGAGAAGCGAGAATACATGCAACATAGAAATTCCTTCCAAGTGAAAGTGGCGAGGGCCGGAAAAAGTGGCAGTGGCCGAACCGAGCGCGAAACAAATGGAATGAGGTCGCCATGGCTGGAGGAACAAAACGGGAACTGGCCAGGCCACTCACCTACACTCAGAACATGATCATCACCGCAAGCGCACCATTGCTCATAATCATAGTCATCGTATCTTACTATGATCGTCCACATCATCTTCACTAGCATCTCCATTCCCACATCTCAAGTAGGCTTCCTGTTTTTGTCCAAGCACCCCGCGCAAGAACTCCTCTCCCTCACACTCCTATCATTCCTCTCACAGTCGCAACCGCAATCACGCAATCACAATCAGCATCATCATGACCATGATCACGATCATGATCATGTTCATCAACATCCTCATCATCATCATCACCATCATCACCATCACCATCATCATCATCATCATCAGCAGCAGCAGCAGCACCATCATCATCATGGTAATCATAATCATCGTCATCGTCATCGTCATCATCATCACCATCATCATCATCACCATCACCACCACCATCACCATCACCATCACCATCACCATCACCATCATCATCATCATCATCATCATCATCATCATCATCATCATCATTATTCAGTATTAGTAGGGCCGTCACCACCTCCATCATCACCCCTCACATACTCACACATATCAGCATCATGATCACGACCATTATTTTTGCCACATCCACACTCTCACACACTATCATCACGACTACTATTATCATCAATATCGCAATCATCATCGTCATCACCATCAATACACCAAACACACTTACCCACCCGTGTTCTCACACTCATCTCAAGCGGGGGCCGTGTTAGTGACTGGAACGCAAAGACATCGCAGGTGAGAGCCCCCTCCCCATGGGGCCCGCACATCATCTCACGAACCCAAGAGGATCATCAATACATGTATATGTCAGGACTATGAATTTTGCGGATTGTGCATCTATGTAGACACACGTGTTTATCCACCGGCCCCATTGCGGGACCATCAGGCTGCGACGATTAGGCTTGCTGCTCCCTGCACCAATTTCAGTTTTCAGTTTCCAATGTTACAGTATTGCTTTCTGCTTCTTACTGTAAATTGTTGCTGTCCGCGCGAGAGGGGGGGAGCCGGAAACCACCCTGGTTAGCGTCCACGGGTCGCGTACTCCGAATGTCTGGTGGGACATATAATAATATCTTAGATTCGCGCTCCCGACGCAATAACCCTTGGTAAATTACACTGTAGTCGCGCCCAATCCATGATAACTTACATTGTGTTCGCGTCCCCGAATCCACGATCCCCCGAAAAATACTCTATATTCTCGCTCCTGAGGCCACGATCCCCCGTAAATTACCCCACAGTCTCGCCTCTGGGGTCCCGATCCCTGGTTAATTGCGCCACAGTCGCGCCCCCGAGGCTACGATCCCTCGTACATTACACCACATTCGCGCCCCCGAGGCTACGACCTCCTGCAAATTACACCACGCTCGCGTGCCCGAGGATTATGTAGCTCCCATCGCGCTTCAAGGACCCCATCCCAGAAATAATTTCGAGCACCCAGGAAAGTATCGAAACGGTGTCAAACGAGTATTGCCCCACAGGGCCCGACGCGTGAAAACCCTCAGGTCTCGGCACGTTCGCGGTGCTCGATGTCTTCATCTGGCGATCAGGGCTCAAGCAGGCTGGGGAGGAGGAGGAGGAGGAGGAGGAGGAGGAGGAGGAGGAGGAGGAGGAGGAGGAGGAGGAGGGAGGAGAGGAGGAGGAGGAGGAGGAGGAGGAGGGAGGAGGAGGAGGAGGAGGAGGGAGGAGGGAGGGAGCAGAAGCTCGAACCTCGAGGTCCGATGCGCTCGAGGCTCGGGCAGCCCCCGAGCCAGCACCGGGCAACCCGCGGGGCACGGCGGGCAGCCCCGCCCGGGCCACGGGGCGCCTCCGAGCCCCGGCCGGCCCTCCTCCGCCCAGGAAGAGGGCGCGAAGTATATACCCGCAGGCCCCCCGGGGGGGGGGCGGGCGTCCTGGGCTCAGGTCGGACGCGCCCTCCTACAGGCGACACGTTTAGGGTTCTCCCGAAATCATTGTTGTTTTTTTTTTTTTGCGTTTTTTTCCAAAATGGTGTTCGCTGCCTTTCGCAGGTTTCGAGGAGGAGGTGGAGGAGGAGGAGGAAGAGGAGGAGGAGGAGGAGGAGGAGGAGGAGCAGGAGGAGGAGGAGGAGGAGAGCGACGAGGAGCAAACGATCAGCGAAGATTTTGTGGTTTTGGTGGTTTGGGGGTGCTTTGGGGGGGGCGACCATATATATATATATATATATATACACACGCATATGTGTGCGTGTGAGAAAAATCTAGAACACATGGTTAAAACGTAGTCGAAAAATCGGCCACTGACTGTTCTTGGTCTATTCTTGAAGATCCCCCCTGTAAAAGGGGCATGCCCGACTCAATCCTGGGCGTGGGTGCGGCATGCAAAATTCCGTCAATATATATATATATATATATATATATATATATATGCTCGGCCCCCCCCAGCGACCCCCCAAAACGCCCAAAACACGAAGCCGCGGTCTTGAGATGCTGGCACCGAACAGCCGCAGACACATGGTCTGTCACAGCGGGCTGTGACCCGAGAAGTATTCCTCCTCATCTTACTCTCCCTCATCCTCCCCCTCCTCTTCCATCTCCCCCCTCGCCTCCTGCTTCTCCTGTTCCTCGTCCTCCTCCTCCCTCCTCCCTCGTCCTCCACCTTCTGTTCTTCCTCCTGGTCCTCTCCCTGTTGGAGAACGTTCGGAGCAGAAGGTTGACGGGGGGCAAACCGTAGCAACGAAATGTTCCAAGACTTGAATGGTTCCCTTCGTGTCCCCTGTTGTCCCCTCGTGTCCCCCTCGTGTCCCCTGTTGTTCCCTCGTGTCCCTCTCGTGTCCCCCTTGTGCCCCGAAGAGTACACAGTGTTTTCTTGCTCGGAGGCCACGAAACACTGTGTATCACAGGTTTTTCTGTTTTTTCTGGTCTGGGAACCAACGA